ATTATCAAGATTTTATATTATATAGGTAATAAAATTATCCCATGTACAATTACATAAAAACAAAGTGATAGTAACTACAATGAGCCCAAAAACTGACATAAATACAGAGGAGTCTGTAGCGTTTCTAGATATGCTGGTTGGTTTACTAAACTGCGTAACGTGTTATCATGTGCAGTGGACGAATAGACTCTGCCGACACAAGACGCACACAACAACAGAACAAAGTGTAGCGTTTTTACAAGAGCAGCAACACTGAGAGCTTCAGTTTACACGCTGTTAGCAAGTCAGACAGACAAACCAAAGCCATAAGTTAACTCACCCTGCATTCACTACATGGTTATTTTCTTCAATCAAGTTTCCCTCAGCCGATCATAAAAACTAAAATACAACCGGACTTCAGTGACCAAAAAATCTCCGCAGCACTGTCTTCTACTGTGTTGTCATTGACCCAAACAAACCCGCGTTGCATTCTGCACATGCACGCCTGCTTCTGGGAGATGCTGGACAGTGTTTGCCGTGAGATTATAACGGCGCGGTTAACCGTAACAGGTTATCATGGTAATTAAAATGTGTACGGTAATAATAACCGTAGGTGGAGCAAGGTGGCGTGTTTGCCGTGAGAGTCCAGTGGTGGAGGCTAGGTGTATGTGTGAATGTGGGCATAAGAGCAGATTCAAATAGTAAATAAACACTAAACTAAGGTGGAAAATTACCTACAATAACATAACTGTCAATAAAAATATGATATACACCGCTACTGAGCCCCACCCCCCACCGGCCGCCGCCACAGTTGCACTGTCTTAATGATAGCTAAACAGTCCGGGCTGCGGGTGTCTCTCTGTTCGGTCTCTCGGATCCACGATACAAGACTGTGGACTTTGTGTCACAATTTTGGTCTCTGTTTCAGAACTGTTATAGCCCTACTGTATTCACACAAACTTGTGCAGGGTTGTGCGGAGGGGTGGCTATTTATGCTTTAGTTAAACAATCAGAAAATAAGGTTTTATTTCTCCGATGCACTGCTTTGTTCTAATGCCGCACCCTCTCTTCCCTGCGGAGGAGGGGCCAGCTTTGAATATGTTTTTCCAAACACCAGCTACAAATTCTTCTCAAATGTTAGATTTATGCCTGACTTATGGTCCAAAGCGTTAATTTACTGGTTATGAAATAGGGATGTTTAGTAGATCCTGCAGAGAATATGTAAAGAACTTGGCAGTTGAACTGTGAAACCTGCACTCAAATACAAATGACAATAATTTTTTGACTTCTTGATTCACATACAAATGTTATTGCAACTTGCGTTGTTTCCCATTTCTCAACAGACCTCGATGTCGTTGTCATCAGAGCAGCCTCCACCCTCCACAGTTCTCCCACCTGCCTCTCAAACACAGGTTTTCCAGCCTGTTTCCAAAGCTCCTCACAGCAGTGGCATTAATGTCAACGCAGCACCATTCCAATCAATGCAGACAGTAAGGCCATTGTGACGACACTTACTGCCCAGATTTATTGAAAAGTTAGCCATGTTATCTACTAATGCATGTTTTTAAAACCATTTAATGTTTAAGTTTACAGAAAGAGCTGAGAATCTGTCATGTAGATTTAAAAGTTTGAGACTGTGTGTGAGTGGAATCAGAACAGAAATGCATGGATGGCTTTAATGAGGCTTTGCATGTGGAGTCCTTAAGTGCCCTCTCATCATATTGCAGTTGTATGGGGCTTGTAGTAAAGCAGTTTTATCCAGGAAATAGTGAGTAATGGACTTAGCTCCTAATGAGCCTGTGACCTTTCCTCTGGTTTTGGCTTCACCACAATGTGGCCCTTGTTCACCCCTCAGGTGTTCAACCTCAATGCCCCAGTCCCGCCAGCTAATGAGACAGAGGCTTTGAACCAGGCCAGCCAATACCAGAACAGCTACAACCAAGCCTTCAGCAGCCAGTCACAGCATCCTGTGGAGCAGGCAGAGATGCAGTCGGAACAACTGCAGTCTGGTGGGCAGATTTTAAAAATTGATTGTCATTATTTACTTACTTGGGTTGACTGTGCCATGTATGTCTTCCAGTTATGGAAGACATACATATTCGATTTTGTCTGGAGATTGACTTGGAACCGTTTTGTTTTATTTAGTAGTTGGTGCCTTCCATTCCCAAGACCAGTCAGGAGGCCACCAGCAGCCTTCGCAGCAGGGCCCAGGCTTCGGCAGGCAGGGTCAGTCCTTCTACAACAGCAGAGGCATGTCTCGTGGTGGACCTCGCAATGCCAGGGGCATGATCAATGGCTACAGAGGCTCATCGAATGGATTCAGGGGTAAGCTCACAACCTACAGCCACAAATGAATCCATTATTTTCACTTACCCTTTTCAGACATGGAATATGTAACATTGCTGTCTTCATCTGTCTGTTAAAGAGCTTTTTGTCATTCAGACATGCAGACCAAGAAGTGCATTTAACCTCATGCTGCTTTTGCCTTTAACTTAATGAGATGGTGTTCTGATTCAATTCAGATTAGTTTAATTGTTTGTTGTGGAAATGTTAGTCATCTTGCAGAGGCTTGTTACCATGTAAAAATGCCACCACATTTACACAATGAGGTGTATGTCTGAAAGGGGCTGAAGGGTCAAGAGCTTGTTTTATTTGAAACCTCAAGAAAAGCATCATCCTGTTTTTAGGTGGCTATGATGGTTATCGTCCTCCTTTCTCCAACACTCCAAACTCTGGTTATGGACCGACTCAGTTCAACACACCTCGGGATTATTCAAATGGGAATTATCAGCGGGTATGAAAGAAGCATTCAGACCTCACACTGGCTTTGTTTAATATCATCTTTACTGTTTGTTGGGGTGGTTTCTAAAATGTCTTTTTCCCCCTGTCTTTTGCTCAAGGATGGTTACCAACAGAACTACAAGCGTGGAGCTGGTCAGGGACCCAGAGGAGTGTCAAGAGGCAGCACTCAGGCAATACGATCCTGAAAAGGCCTTTCATAATGACTGTGACTGACTTAACTTGCACCACACTGAAAAATCTAAATTCAAGAATGCATTTGCCCCAGCTCACTCATCTTCTCTTTTGTTTGTTCTTCATCAGTGGTATTTTTCCTGTCTCTCTTAAATCAAAGTAATGCCTGCTTTGATATTTGGAAATATTAAATCATTTAAAGTCTGAAACACATGCTAAGCTGTAAATCCAATCATCGATTTACACAAGCCATGTGTTACAATATTCCTGTAAACTTGAAAGATTTCATAAGTTATTTTTTGTATAAAAAAAATGCACCTGCCACTGCTGGTCCAATCCATGGGAGTTTATTCCCCTTCTAAGTTCTTTACTGTCATTTTGGTTCTTAAAAAAAAAAGATTTTATGTTCAATGAGCTCCCATTTCCTTGTTTGTAAATTGATGTTGCTTCAAGAGTTTCAATAAAGTTGTGTTGCATACCCATGCTTCAAACTCAGTTTTCTGCTGTACAGTGGATGGGCGTGTGGGTCACAAGGGAAAGGTGCAAAATATTTCAACGGTTTAATGATGCAGTGGATAATTTTCTATTCTAATGGTTACTTTTGTTGTATTCAGAGTTGCTTGGGGTTTCTCTTGAGACTTTTTATTTTTAATGTTTTATTTATACCACTTTAGTTTGAAGTAGGAATTTGTTTTGCATGTTCAGTTTCCTCTTTTACTTGAGTTCTAGATTTAATGTTGTGAAGTTGTCACATAGCAGGAATAAGTGTTTCACATGTGCCATTTCTCAAGCCAGCATAGAGCACTCGTAATGGAGAGTTACTTAAATGGTGTGTCGGGCTAGGCCACGCATGCGAGGGTTTGGCAGATATCGCATATCTTGCCATCCTCACTGATAACAAGTTTTGCTCTTAAAACAAATCCCTGTGTGGTTTCTGAAGCATTTTAACGGTAGAGAAGATCGGGATGCTTTTAGCAGTAATGCAGCACCACCCCGTGGCTCATGGGAGTACAGTTACGGACCTGATAGATTTATTGATGAAGACAATATTCATTTCAGATTTTCAAGGCTTCTGACATAAATATATATAAAAAAAACATGACATTATCGTGTCAGCTTTTCAGACTCACTTTTTTGCCATGTAAATGTAACTTAACCGTTATGTTAAATATATCTACAACCAGCAAAGTGCTTTGAGAAAAGCACGTGGTGAAGGGATGTTGTGCCTTTTCCCCCATGAGCTGACGCTCACAGGCGGAATTCGTACTTATCCTGCCCCTACGCGATCCTCTGTCGGTAAACTTTTAAAGCTGGATCTAACCTCATTCATCAAACCACTTAACGCATATGTAATTTTTAACGCAATATAATAGGCCACGATCTCTTATAGAAGCTTGCTTGGAGAAGAATAGTTTATCGAAATGCCCCCCAGATATTTTATTTACGGCAGAATCCAGAATGATTTTGGAAAAAATATCTAATTGCGATTGTGTGATATTGCAATTGCGATATAATTTGCATATTGACGGGAACGATACTTTTTACCTTAAAATTATGTCCCATTTTCATTTAAAAAACATTAAAATGATTATGGTGTGATTTTTGAAGGGATTGGTACCAAACTAAGAGGTTTCCTTAAGTCTGTTGAATATGATGTGCGGTCTAGGACAGGCACCGACCTAATCCCTGCAGCAGGACAGTATATTTAATTTAAAATAGTATTTTTACACACTTTTCATCTTTAACAAATAATGCGCCTCTTGCGATTTGAAAATTGCAGTCGACCATATTGCAATTTCGATGAAATTTTGATTAATTCAGGCCGATTTACTATCAGAGAACTAAGAAAATCAGCTACCAGTATCTATTTAAGTCGCAATCAGTTCATGTTTGACCCTCTTGCTTTAAAAACATACTTAAACGATAAAGCAATTGTCGTAATAGTAAGAATTAAATCGACTAATAACTAACTAATTCAACTTTGAAGAGAACTCCACCTGAGAGGCCAAATTCAGGGGCCAAGTTCCTCAGAGACCGTCGCGCAGTTTCGACGTCACACCGGGGTCCTCCATGAACTGATGTCTCCACGTGAGTGTATCAACAGCATGATGGCTGGCATGTAAATTCAGCCCTCGACTTGTTGGAGTTTTGTGAAGACTAATTAACAAAGAGTTTGTCTGTAACGGAAGGTAAATGGAAAGTGTTTTAACTCTGTGTTTAATTCTGTTTCTGCGGCGCGTTGTGTCGGATTTTAGGCGCCCTGCTGCCATAAACTCTTTTTTGTTTTGGCTGCAAGTTAGTCTTTCCTCATAACTCAGTTGACAGGTCTTTATTGGTGTAACGTTAACTGCACCGTTTATGTCGCACTGTATTGCTGATATTTGTATCTGTGCGTTAATGTAGTTGTTTGGGTGATTTTTGTGATTTCTCTCAGTAGCAGGAAGACGATGGCAACATTCCGCAAGAAGGTAGACAACCGGATTCGTGTCCAGATAGAGAATGGAGTCGCTCTGCAGCATCGGACCATGTTTGTGGTGGTGGGAGATCGTGGGAGAGATCAGGTAGTTTTTCAGTCCCTGTTCTCTCATGCAAATGTGTCAATCTTAAGTAGTAATTTCTTGTTTTAAGATTAATTTGTGTCCATGTAACGTACCCCTCTTTGCATTTGACATCAAGCTAATTAAATCTGTCTCTGATCCAGGTTGTCATCCTGCATCACATGCTGTCTAAAGCCGCCGTCAGAGCACGGCCCTCGGTACTCTGGTGCTACAAAAAAGACCTAGGATTCAGCAGGTGAGTGTAAACTCTCCCCCAGTGATTTAGCCGTTTGTCTTTTATTGTGTCACAAAGGAGAAGGGGGGGATTTGATATGTAAAAAATGTCTGAAACAGCAATCGAAAGAAGCGCATGAGACAGCTGCAAAAGAAGATAAAAACCGGCACGTTGAATTTGAATCAGGATGACCCGTTTGAACTCTTCATCGCTGCAACCAACATCCGCTACTGTTACTACAACGAGACACACAAGATCCTGGGAAACACCTTCGGCATGTGCGTCCTGCAGGTGAGTTACTCCTCTTTGGCTGCAGACCTGTGGGTCCAAAGATATATCAATGGAAGGATGTTTTAATTTTATTGGGAACCACTACTCTAGACCAATATAAAGTGTGTGTGTGTGTGTGTGTGTGAGTGAGAGAGAGAATGTCAGAATTTTCCTTGCAAGTTTAAATATTTACTGTATGAAATTAAACAACATTAGTAGCAGTAGGTTTACGTGGAATAAAAGCACATGTAAAGAAAAATGATAAATAAAATAAAAGGTAACTCAGGCACAGTAATAAGAAAGTGTGGCAGCCTATAGTGGACCGACTGAATGTGTGAGAAGCTAAAAATATCACTGCTCTTACCTGAAACTCAGTCATAATTGTAATGTTATATCGTGCGTTAAAAATGAGAACCGGACGTTATGGGGCACACACAATATAGAGGATAGATGGATAGATATAGGCCTAAATAATTTACTTGAGGTTTCATAATTGACTAAAACTCCCAAATTACAGGCCCACTTCAGTAAAGAGACTATATTTTGCACTGTTTCTTTATGAAACAACAGGAAGGAGACACACAATGTTGTTAGACCTTTTTTCTCTCCCTGGGATCACTGGTCTACTGGGAGCTCGGGAGAGAAAACAATGATTAATACATCGTGCTACAGTCATGCTACAGCGTGCTTTGCAATGATCACCTTTGGCTTCTTTTTATCTCCATATCTAGGTCCAAGTCTGTTTTTTATTTTGTTAATTTTTTCAAGTGCGTGCAGTTCAGACATCTGACAGTTTGTAAAACACACATCAATTAGCACAGCAGGAATTGTTCACCTGTGGGTGTCCTTATACTTAAACTACATTGGCAGACTGGCTGTCAGACTGTAGGACTACAGCCTCAGGGTCAAGTTAAAAATATCATACAGTATTTTCTATGAGCACCACATCACTGACTTATTATCTATTATCCATACTGACTTAACAAGTACAGCATTTTCACACAAAATTGGCAGACCTCCAGCTTCTCTGCCAAGCCTACTATATATATATTTATACACAATACTATGAGGAAAAGAAATACTTCATGGTAACATTTTAATTATGACAGTTTCAGTTTAGTGATACTTTTAGCTACTTATTAAGTCGGTCCTTTATTCTCTGCCACGCTTTTTCTCGCTGTTTTAATACTGCAGCCGTGTTTCTTTCTTTTTTTTCCTTTTTTGTTATGTGCATTTTTTTCATCGTAAACCTTTACACATGTGAGTAACAGCGAATAAAGTATGCTGCGCACGCCAATATATTTGCTTTCTGTGTCACACAGGATTTTGAAGCCATCACTCCCAATCTCTTAGCGAGAACTATAGAGACCGTAGAAGGAGGTGGTATAGTGGTGTTACTGCTGAGGACAATGAACTCTCTCAAGCAGCTGTACACTATGACTATGGTAAGTTTACAACCTTCCATCTCCACACATGTAATGACTGTTTCCCGGTCAGATGATTTGGGATCATTTATGGCTTGTTTTCACGTAGGACGTGCACTCCCGATACAGGACTGAGGCTCATCAGGACGTGGTGGGAAGGTTCAATGAGAGGTAAGTGCTCCTCTGGCTTTCATGGGATTTGGAGCATTTTAATTCAATGGACAGATGATTTAATAATATTATAAATGTTGCTGTACTGTTTTCTAGGTTCATTCTCTCACTTGCATCCTGCAAAAACTGCGTTGTCATTGACGACCAACTCAACATCCTGCCAATCTCCAGCCACATGGCAAACATCAGGCCCGTTCCTCCAAAGACTCAGGTGTCAATGTTAGAGTACAAACAATTAGTCGTTCAATCGATTAGTTGATCAACAGAAAAATAATCTGTAATAAGTCTGATAATTGATTGTTTGTTTAAGTCAATGATGCAGCCAACATGAGGAACATGTACTAGTTCCAGCGTTTCCAGTGTCTCTGTTTTATATCATTTTAAAGTAAATATCACTGAGTTTTTTTTCCTTGGACTCTGTGAAATTGTTATTTGACATTAGCATTTTTCACTCTCAGCATCTTAAAACTTGCTTATTTTCTTGATTTAGTAACTTGATATTTTTTGTGGTTTGTACAATTTGTCTCCTTATTCTTGTAGTGTCTTTCTCCTTTAGTTTTCTCCCTTATTTAAACTACTTTGTGCCAACTGTTTTGAAAAAGGCTATATAAATAAAGTTTGCTTGCTTGTTGGCTGTATACTGCCTGATTTCTGACCAGATGTCTCAATCCCTTTAGGAGGACGGTTTGTCTCCAAGAGAACAGGAGCTGAAGGATCTGAAGGAGTCCCTTCAGGACACTCAGCCTGTGGGTGTGTTGGTGGACCGCTGCAGGACCATGGACCAGGTCAGGACCTCTTTCTAAAGAGCCACATTACACATTTACAAAGTATAACTTTTGATGAATGCACCAATACAGGTCAAAGATCATGACCGTCTTCCTGAGAAATTACACCTCGGTAGTCGAACCATTTTATATCAGTCCTAATAGTTTGTGTTGTCCTCTAGGCTAAAGGAGTGCTGAAGTTCATTGAGGCCATCTCAGAGAAGACTCTGAGGAGCACTGTGGCCCTGACTGCTGCACGTGGTCGAGGCAAGTCTGCAGCACTGGGTCTTGCTGTTGCTGGAGCTGTGGCTTTTGGGTACAGATTAGTTTTATAAAGCCTTACAAAATATCAGTTTTGTCTATTTTATGGTCTTCATGATTGCCTGACATTGTTTACAGCTACTCCAACATCTTTGTAACTTCACCAAGCCCGGACAACCTCCATACCATGTTTGAATTCATCTTCAAAGGCTTTGATGCTCTGCAGTATCAGGTAAGCTGCTCGAGAATCCCCTCTGTATCAGAGACATGGTGTTCATGCTGTGTGCACATACCGCTTCATATCCCCCTTTTTGCATTTGTAGGAGCATCTTGACTATGAAATCATCCAGTCTTTGAATCCGGAGTTCAACAAGGCTGTGGTGCGGGTGAACATTTTCAAAGAGCATCGGCAGACAATACAGGTAAATAAGACCAGACCACTCCTCTCCGTTATTTACACTTGTTAAAGCACTTTGTAACTTGTTTTTGAAAAGTGCTGTACAAATAAAGATTATTATTATATGATACATTAAACACACACATCTGACCTTCCTGTTCATGTGGCCAACAGTACATCCACCCAGGTGATGCAGTGAAGCTGGGCCAGGCTGAACTGCTGGTCATTGATGAGGCTGCAGCCATCCCTCTTCCTCTGGTTAAGAAACTGCTGGGGCCTTATCTGGTCTTCATGTCCTCTACCATCAACGGGTTAGTAGTAGGGCTGGATGATAGTCTATAATAATTTTATTTCATTATCATGGTCAATTAATTGTTTGGTATATAAGTTGTCTGAAAAAAATGCATGTCACAATTACCCATACCCAAGTTTACATACTTAAAGTTATTTTTTTTCAAATGAGTAATCCAAAACCCAAAGATATTCAGTTTAGTATAATAAAAGACTAAGAAATTTTTCAAATATTCACATATGGGAAGCTGCAAAGGAGTACATCTTTGCGTGAAAAATTTCAATAAATTAAAAAAATGATTAATTATCGAAATCGATAATATTATGTCAAATGATAAGTCGCTTCATCATTCCAGCTCTAGTTATTTGCATTTCTGTTTGCCTTTGTCTCTGCAGGTATGAAGGCACAGGACGCTCTCTTTCCCTCAAACTGATTCAGCAGTTGAGGCAGCAGAGCGCAGACAGTCAGCAGAACATGTTGGCAGAGAACCGGACTGCCAACACAGCGAGGCTAGCAGCAGGTGTGTATATATAAAAATATAAATAAAGTGTGTGCATACACGCACACACACAATCAGTGTTTTACTCTGTTTGTGTGTTCAGCGTGTCTCTTTCCCATGTCTGACTGCTGTTTGCCGTTCTCCGAACACAGCTCGATCTCTACATGAGGTTTCTCTCCACGAGTCCATTCGGTACGCTCCTGGGGACGCTGTAGAAAAGTGGCTAAATGATCTGCTCTGTCTGGACTGTCTGAACATACCCAGGCTCATTTCTGGCTGCCCACTTCCGCAGACTTGTGACCTGTATCCTTAAAGTTGCCTGTGGTCTAGACCAGGCCTGTCACATCTGATGCACATACAGTATGTCATGCAATAACATACATACAAAATGTTTAAACAAACAAATAATAATAAGCCAGGCTACAATGTGTGATAGAGCAGGGGGATCAGTATTAAGAAGATGAAAATTAAAGTGTCATTTCAGTGTACACAATGTTTTCATCTAGCAAAAAAAACCTTCAGATTGCTTGTTTTGGTTGACTGACAGCTTAAAACCTAAAGATATTAAAGTCACTATAAAATTAGACAAGGAAAATCCACACATTTGAGAAGCTGGAACTAGAGAAGGTTTTGTAATTTTGCTTTTACTTAATCAGTTAATCATTTGACTTGACTTTCACTGATCATCTGCTGGCTGAGATTAACCAGTAGGTATTAAACGTATACATATGTATTCGGCTAAATCGATAAAAAGATTACAGAATTTTAGGGTAATCTGATCAAATCAGGTTTGAATTGCATCATGTGGGATTATTCTCTGTAATACATCTGTATTATTTTATTATCTAAAGTTGTGACACACTCCTACAGACACTACATGAGTCTAAAGCAAAACAAGTTGTAGTTTCTTCTGCGTTTTATCCTGAGCCCACACTGTCCAGATATTATGTGAACAGAGACACGCTGTTCTGTTACCACAAGGCATCTGAGGCTTTCCTGCAGAGGCTGATGGCCCTCTACGTGGCATCGCACTACAAGGTGACATTTTCAGTTTGCATTCACGTAACTTGCTTTTCCTCGAAGAGCATAATCTTCTACGCTCCACCTTGTGTCGTCTTTGTTATTCTTTGCTGACTCAAATGTTGTCTCGGGGATCCAGAATTCACCAAACGACCTGCAGATGTTGTCTGACGCTCCGGCACATCACCTCTTCTGCCTCCTGCCTCCTGTTCCGCCCACACAGAACTCACTACCTGAGGTCCTCGCTGTGGTGCAGGTAAGACAAGATGAAACTTTGCAAATCCGTCCCAATGAGTTCAGAAAGAAAGGCTGTTTTATATACAGTAGTTTATTCTTTGACCTACTGAAACTTTCACCAAATCAGTCAGCCTTTTATTTACTGCCCAACAGCCTGTCCTTCACATCCTGCATTCAGAGCCTTTTTTTCTTGCTTGTATAGTTATTTTGGCAAACCAGTTACTTGAATTGACTTACTGCATTTGTTCTGTTATTTACAGTCGTTCTTCTTTTGTCCCTCAGGTTTGTCTGGAGGGAGAAATATCTCGGCAGTCCATCCTAAACAGTCTGTCCAGAGGAAAGAAGGCCTCTGGTGACCTCATTCCATGGACTGTGTCTGAACAGGTACAGTGCTCACAGAGCTGTTAGACTAAAATCATCACAGCTCATGTTTCCACAGTGCAAACACGAATCATCTGCTCTTTTCTTCCTAGTTCCAAGACCCAGAGTTTGGCAGCCTCTCTGGAGGCAGAGTTGTGCGAATAGCTGTCAATCCAGACTACCAAGGGGTAAAAACTTTCAAAAGGCCTTGGCGTGTTTGTCCAGTTTTTAATTAATCTGGAAGCACTGTATGAAACTGGTTTTCAACCTGTCCACCAGATGGGCTACGGCTCCAGGGCTCTCCAGCTGCTGCAGATGTACTACGAGGGCAAGTTTCCCACCATGGATGAGAGCACACGCTCAAATCACAATGAGATCACCACCGTCAGCAGTGAGGTAACACAATTATACATGTTTCATCTATACTTGAAAGACATCACGTGAAGTGTAGCCAGAGTAAAAATACTATTTTTGAGATTAGATTAGGCAGATTAAACGCACAGCTCTGTGACTGAGACCCTGTTGTGTCTTGGTGTCCAGGCTGTCAGTCTGCTGGAGGAGGTGATCACACCACGGAAGGAGCTCCCTCCTCTGCTGCTGAAGCTGAGTGAGAGGAGAGCCGAGAGACTGGACTATCTAGGAGTGTCCTATGGCCTTACTGCACAGCTGCTCAGGTGAGTATTCTGGAATATGGAGAAGGTGGTCGTAATATTTCTGCAGATTTAGAAATGTCAAAAATTCTTCTCGCAACCTGACAGATTCTGGAAGAAAGCGGGTTACACTCCAGTCTACTTAAGACAAACCCCTGTAAGTATTAAAAACATTTGTCTTTTTTTTGTACATTGTGCTGTTGTCACATGCTGTAATTATTGGTGTGTGTGAATCTAGAATGACCTGACAGGAGAGCACTCTTGTGTGATGCTGAAGGAGCTGAACACAGATGAAACCCCAGAGCAGAGCCAGTGGCTCTCTGCCTTCTGGAAAGGTAAACTCCCACAACCTTTCCCTGTACAACCCCTGGTCACCTGGTTTGTTTAAAAGCATTATAGTCTGACATATTTTTTATTTAATTTAATTTTATTTGTTTTCCTCAGATTTCCGCCGGCGCTTCCTGTCTCTCCTCTCCTACCAGTTCAGCAGCTACCATCCAAGCCTGGCACTTAACATCCTGCAGAACAAGAAGTCCAAGGAAGATACGAGCAGTAAGACTCCTCTACTAAGTAACAGGATCAGATTTTTTCCTCTGCATCTTACCGACCTGAACTGACAAGTCTTTGACCTTCACAGCTCTCAGCAGCTCCGAGTTGGCAGGCCATTTCAGCCCCTACGACCTCAAACGTCTGGAGTTGTATTCGAGGAGCATGGTGGACTACCACCTGATCATGGACCTGATCCCAACAGTGGCACGCATCTTTTTCCTCAAGCAGCTCGGAGATGTCTCTCTGTCCGCAGCACAGTGTGTAAGTTTCCACAACGGTTATGTCCTCGGCCGTATCTTTGCTGTGAACAAAGGTAATGTTATTCTTGCTGATTGGACCTGTTTTTTTGTAGGCGTTACTGCTGGGTATAGGGTTACAGCACAAAACAGTGGACCAGCTAGAAAAGGAAATTGAACTCCCAAGCTCGCAGCTCATGGGCCTTTTCAACCGTCTGATAAGGAAATTTGTGCAAGTAAGTCCGTTGGTTTAGTGACGTCTTAATAATCCATTGAAAAAACATGATATAAAGAAGACAACCTACCTTTTGAAACTATTGCAACAACATTAATACTCTGAATTGTTCTGGCCCTAGGTCTTTACCAGTATCCAAGAAAAAGCCATTGAGGCACAGATGGCGGCCACTAAAGATGTTTCCATGGAGCCGACTGTTGGAAGCCTTAATGATGATCTGGTATGTGGTCAAGAGTGTTGATGGTCAATTCTAGTCATTTATCATGCGAAAATATTTTCAGTTTCTAGTGTGAAAATGTGTTGCTTTTCTTGTTTTTATTTATTATAAGTAAATATTTTGGGATTTTGAGCTGTGTTTTGTTTGAGGACAAAATGTATCTGTTAACAGAATGAAGCCGCTAAGGAGTTTGAGGAGAGACACAAGCAGGATGTAGAGAAGGTGAAGGAAATGGACCTGGAAGAGTGAGTATGAGGTTGAGGGTTATGGCCTTGGTCATTATTTGTGTAAAATTTTGAATAACTACAGCTACAGGACAATATTTGCTGGAGCTGAATGATTTCTTTGTGTTTACAGATACAAGATCCGTGGAGATGATGAGGAATGGGACCAGGTGTTGAAGAAAGCAGGGAACACGGCTATCATTAGCATCAAGAGGTGCAGTGACCTCAAGCGTTGTGTGTGTCTGTCTGTGTCTGGTTGTTGTAGAAACATGTTTGTAACCGATGTCCTACTGCCAACAGTGACAAAAAGAGGAAGTTGGACGGGGGAAATGCCACAGCAAGCAATGGGGCTGCCCAGCACGGGAAACTAAAAAAGAAGGAAATCCAACACGGCAAATTCAAGAAGAACAAGGACAAGCATGGCAAATTTGGAAAGAAGGCGTGACAGTGAACCGTGCTGCATTGACAGCGCACTGACAGTGTGTGGCGCAGAGCAGCATCAACATGATCTGCAATTGGCAGACCTTTTGGATATCTTGGATGGACTTGCAGATACTGAAGAGCGCCCAAAAGACTGTATTTCTACATTTGTCATAACAAGTTTGTTGCTTTGGTTTATGTTAAGTGCAGAGAAACTGTATAGCGGCAGAAAATAACTCACGTACACTTATTGTACTAAATAGGTAAAATTTACTTTCAAGTATTTAAAACATTTTCACAATGTTTTAGAGTTCCCTTTTAGCTGATGTCATGACTTCTACAAGACTTGTAAAAAGTTAATGGAAAGGTTGTTTTTTTTTTTGTTTGTTTTTTTTTAAAGTGAGGTATATGATTGGTTTTAGGTTACACTGAATGGGTCACTTGAACACCTGAGGCTGTATATCAGTCCACTTCTGTTTCAGCTGCTGTTTCACTGTGTCTGGTGCAAAGATACAGTCTATGGCCTGCAGGGAGAGCTTCCATACAGCCTCACGACTGAGTCCAAACGTGGATGCTGCCAGCTGATATTCCTGAGACAAGTCTGTACAGAAGACTCCTTTATCATCAGTCTGTAATGTGACAAAGAATAAAAATCATTCATGGTCCACCAATTTATCACATCAATGTAATTTTACTCGTCATTAAGGGGGTACTACTCAGCCTGGGAAATCAGCAGTTAAGCTTGAGACTTCTAATATTTGGCCTGTGTTATAAACTGGGGCATAGCATTTATCGAGCAGGGAGGGTCTAATGACAGAAGCTATTGAGGTGCATTATGGGAATCGTAGGATACAACATTTTTGAATCTTGACTCATAGTAAGGACTAAAAGTCAGGGTATGTCTCTGTTGAATCAATTTTAACCACTCTTTGTTTTAATGTCACTTCCAAACCCCCTCACCAAATGAAACTAATACTAAATCACTGGAGTACCAATTAATGAGTTAGGACTGGGTACTGAACCTCAATACTTTTAAGTCCTTCTCAAATTGTGTCTGTAGCATCAAGTATGAAATACCATAAGTTGGCCCCAAACGCTTGGTTACATTCTAAGTCTTGTTTAGTGCTGTGGTTAAATATTTTATGAATTAAATCGAGATTTGATGCACAGTCAAGACAACATTAAACACCCGAGACTTTTGGCTAAACTGGTGAATGAAAAGGTTTTCCACATATCAAAGTAAGATACCAAATAAAGTATCATTTTGGCATCAGTACTGAAACTCTCGATCACATATATGGATATTATTATTATATGGATATATATGGTATATAAATCTTTTAAACGTGTACATGATGTTTTAAAAATAAGTTTCACTACCTGTGAAGTGCAAAGAAGGAAACTTACACAAATCACACTTGGATGTCCCAACTCGTACCAGTATTTGAAATGATGTTTGGAGTAACACGGTACAGTTTGTCCTTTGACATTTGATGTCAGACATAGCTCTACAAGAAAAAGAAAGTAGAGAAATACAAAAAGTAAACTTACTGTGCATATCACACAAAATGTATAATTTCATCATAGTCTTACCCAGTGGTATGTTGTTCTTTACTACTTTGTCAACAAGACTTTGAGAGCCGCCCACTTCAGGATGCAAGAAGGTGCCGTGACCAATCCTGTCTGGAGGAAGATTCAACAGCAAGTCTGACTCTTCCAGCTGTGATGGTACCTGCAACAGTTTTTGTTTGAAATGTTAGAGCACTCACAGATAATGTGACTACAGATAACAAATGACATTAAAAATGTTGTCATACTTCTGAGAGGTGCAGCGACAACTTCAGTCCACAGTTCTTGGCCCTCTGTAGAGCAGGAAGTAGGTCTTTGCCATGGCCAACCTTCAAATGTACACATTAATTAACATGAAGTACTGTGACAAACCCCCTTGTGGTAAAACATACACACTTGGTTTTAATTGATATTCCATCTGGAGGCATCAACTGAACTGTACCATCCCATTGCTTTGATTTGTGCCACTGAGATTGTCAAAAAATGTATTTGGAAAAACTCTGCAGCATCTTTCAAAATAGGACAAAGCACAATTACACAAGAGATGCTGTTGTGATATGTGATTTGAAAACTTCAGCAACTGCACTGCGGCTATCTGGATGGAAAGATCACATTTCTAGTAAGAGACTAAATAAAATGTAATAATGCTTTTAACTTTCATTATGTTACCTTCCTAAATGTATAGGAAAACTGACTGAATACATTAGACTTGAGTATCAAAAGTACTCATTTTGAGTTTGCTGTGACATGTAATTAGTACTTTAATCTTAAAGCTTGTCCAACTACTACCTATCTAATAATGAATTAAATCTGTTACATTCTTTTCACCAGGCTTTTCTTGTCTACAAGCACCAAAACTGGCTGACTGACCGTTGGATCTCCACTGAGGTCAAGCCCCACCACCAAACCATCAGAAGACAGCATGAACTCCTCAGCCAGCTTCACTGTCTCCATGGCAACTTCAGTCCCATTCCTGCGGTCAATCGCCACCAGAAACCTTCAGGACAAATGGACACATTTAGAGAAATGCACTACTATGGCCAGCGCTCAAGTTATTGGATCAAACATTATGCAACATTTTGGTTGGTTTGGTGTTATCACCAGCTAGTGACAGGGACAGGAGTGTGTCCAACACAGCCATGTCTCATACACCTGAGAGATATTTCTGGACTTGTTGCACACTGAAATAATAAGCTTCGGCTACCTGACATCGATGTCCACGCCGTCGGTTTTACATTGTTGGATAGCTTTGATGACTGTCTCAATATAACTCTTTTTTGTCAATCCTAGGAAAAAGATAATAAACGTGTAGGCATAATAATTTGGTAAAACAATCCTGACAGTAAAAATCCAATCAAAACATTAGACTTCATGTGGACATCCTTACCTGTGTGTTTCTCCTCTCTTGGGGTACTTCTCAGCTCTAAATATTTGACACCATCATTCGCAAACTCCCTGATAACGTCTGTAGCCACCTGGAAAGAAAAAAGAAACACCTATTACTGATATTCTGGGCAAAATATTGATAAAACAAACACACAAAAAGTTACTATTATATTTTTGTTTTAACAAACAGCCAATCCTCACCATCAGGATATCCTCCTCCGTGTCCACCAGCTGATGGATGACCTTGAAGACCTCAAAACACCTGTGGACATGCGCGCCATGTTGTTTTCATGACCCGTTAAAAGACCCCCCTTCCCATTGTCAGTTTACTATTGTCTGCTTGAATACAGCTGCTTCCCATTGAACACATAGAAACAATACTAACTGAATCGTGTCTACTGCACCTAGGTTAAGGAATTAATTAATTAATTAATTAAATGACCATTTAATCATCAATTCGGTGGATATCGATCAATCGCGCTAGCTTGAATTCTGAATCACAGGCAAAGTTATACGTACTCATCCAGTGTCCTCCGCTGACCTTTGCCGATAGCCGTCATGTTGTGTTCAATGTTGAGATGTGGTTTTCGGCTGATGAGTTTCTCGATGGTTTGGAAGCTGACAGAGCCGTTGAGGTGAGCGTGGAGCTCCTGGCGACAGGCAAAACGCTGACGTTAGCATGTAAGCAAGCTTGTATCACAAATGTGAATTAATTTACATTTTCTCTCTTTAAACTCCTCTTTTTCTCTTCTAAAGCGTTATCACTTGTGTGACTTACCACTTTTGGCAGCTCCCGATAAAACACATCACTCTCGTTTTCCATCACAAAGAAAAACAAAGCCTGAGGTAGTCCGCAAAACCTAAGCTGTCCTCCGTCTGTCACATAACGCTGACAACCAGCTTGTTTTCAGTCTACATTTTCCTGTAGCACCGCCAAGTGCAACACAGAAGTAAGTCCCCGTTCTGTAGTTCATTCCCTCGTCATGCTTCTTCCGTTTTAATAGCGTTGCGATTTTTCGTTTTAAGTTTAAAAAAAAGATATTAATGTGATGTTTTCTTTACGTTGTCTTTACTTACTTACTTACTAAAGTAGAATTAAGTATTAATCCGAAAAAATATACTTAAAGTATCCCAAGGAAAGTAGGCTACTCATTATGTAGAATAATGGATCACAGTTGATATGTAAATGTAAATGCTCTGTACTTGTATAGCGCCTTTCTAGTCTTTTCGACCACTCAAAGCGCTTTTACACTACATCTGCATTCACCAGTCACACACATTCATACACTGAGCCTAAGTGCTCCAACGGAAACTAACATTCACACTCACTCATACACTGGCGGAACAGCCGCCAGGGGCAATTCGGGGTTTAGTATCTTGCCCAAGGACACTTCGACACGCAACCAGGGGAGCCAGGGATTGATATGATGATATGATATGTTATGTTATGATATGATATGTTATGTTATATATGATATGTTTATGATATGATATGTTGTGTTTTGTTTGTTACCACTAAAATAACTAATAACTGGTAACTCTCAAATACATTAAGTGGAGAATCAGTGCAGTATTTTCCTTAAAAATGTAGTGAAGTATAAAGAAAAATAGAAATACTACTAAGTTACAAATATCTCAAAATGGATCTGGTACCAAATGTAAGTACAGTATTTGAGTAATATTACAGTATGCTTTTATGCATTGATATAATTTAAACTATTTTACTAATTCAATATTAAACAGCAAATACTTGCTACAAATCACACTGATTTAAAAGAAAGTTTAAAAAATAGTCGCTATTGCGAAACAATTTCAAAATGTATTCTTTTTTATTGTTGAAAATGGCAACACAGTCAATTTATAAACATTCTCTTTTTCTCATTACATTCAAAATCCAGATGGTTTGGTTGAATCCAAGATTCCCAAAATAAAACATTTATCAATGCCGGATGGAAAATTCTGTACATGGGAATGGTGCCTACATGACTGAGCTGAATGGTGTTATGGTATCAGTAGTAATGGTGACATTTGTCCAAACTTGTGCTTCCTTTTTTGACTTACAGAGGGATCCAAATGTAGGCATAACATATATAAAATTATATGAAAAAATAAAGCTGCATAATTATAGCTATTTTAACTTAGTCCTTTTAACAAAATAACAACATTCAAACAGTGTACCTGGAAACTGTGAAAATAATACGGAGAGTAATGATGTATCAAAATTGTATTCCTACTTTTGAGGAGTGTTTCCTCTTTAAACGGATAGTCAAATGATGTTACCGTCTACATGTTCATAAAATTAAATGATGCCACCAATATGACCTAGGATCTAAACATAAAGGGCATAAAATATATCTAAAACAACAGGTCAAGGCACTGTGGCTCTGAGGCAGCACTGTGTTCTAAGGAAAGTCTCGTTGATATATTATTCATTCACTTTTGATAACCGAGCTCTACTAGACCATCTGAGTCAGTAATTAAGAATTAAAGCAGTTTGAACAACTTGAGGAGAGGGATGACGCTCAGAAATGTTTCCAGTTTATGAACATTATGTGAAAACAAATTTTGTCAATTAATACAATTTGAAATCTATTTTTTCATCCCATGTCATGGTCCAAGTGGTCAAAATGAAGGAATAGGAAATTCACTTCCTGTGTCTATTCTGTCAGATCGCTCATTGTTTTCTTCCCATCCCTTGGGTGATATGTTGTAGCCACTCCTTCAACATCTGAAAGCTTGGTCGGGCAGCAGGATCCAGGTTCCAGCACTGCTTCATCATGTTATACACCACTTCAGGACAGCCATCTGGACAGTCCATTTTGTATCCCTTCTCTACTCGAGGCACAACATCTTTTAATGCCTACAGAATGGAAAAGAGCAAAGTTGTTAGTAGAAAGAGGGTTGACAGAAAACAAAACTTATTTTGAAAAACCAGCATGATGTATTCTGTATCAATTTTAAGAAAGCGATGTGACTAGTCAAAAATGGAGTCAACACATTAACAACACGTTTTTTTTTCTTCATCAAAAAATGTACTTGTTTTTCGTTAAAGTGATATTTAGTTTCTAGTCAGTGTTTTTTTTTTTTTTTTACAGTTGAAAATGTCTGCTACTGATACTTACAATTCTTGGGTAAGGCACTCGGCCAAACGAGTAAATCTCCCAAAGCAAAATACCGTAGCTCCAAACGTCTGATTTGGTGGAAAATTTCTATTGATAAGAGAAAAACATGCATGTAAGAGTTTATTTCAATGAGTGGGAGGTACACGATGCAAAGCACATTACTCCACATGGTAGCAGTCCTTGTACCTTTTCTCTGAGGGCCTCTGGTGACGTCCACTTCACAGGCAGCTTAGCAGTATCCTGAGTGGAAGAGGCTTCCTTGGTCAGACCGAAGTCACTGACTTTGGCTATGTTGTCATCTGACACGAGGACATTGCGGGCTGCTAAGTCTCGGTGGACAAAGTTGTTGGCTTCTAGGTACGCCATGGCTTCACAGACGTCTCTGTAAAAAGTACAAGAAAAGAACATTCAAAACCTGAACTCTCAATCCTGGAATCAAAAGCATGCAATGCAAATTTCCTGACAATCCAAACAAAATATGGAATATCTTAAATGGTAAGATGGAATATTTTTTGTGAAGAAACATGGTTTTGTTTACATTCAGCAGGAATCTCCAACTTCATGAAACATTTGCAAATGTTTACTGGTGCATTGCTGTCTTCTACAGTTCATTACCGTCAATATATGGAATTGTATGAAATTGAGAGACTTCATACAGCTGTTCTTGTCCCTTTCATTTGGTAATTAAGGTGCATTTCTGAGGTAGGCCTAATTTTTTAAAACACATTGTGCAATTTTGACATGCAGGCGCAGGTAGCAACTGATGAGATGTTTCCAACCTGGGTTAGATTATCCTAAAGACATTAAATATAGCAGCTAAAATCAACCATATTAGCATACTAAATACATTTTGAAATGAAATGGGCAAACCAGTAGCTAGTTGAATGCTCAAATTGTAATATATAAATGTAGATATTGTAGACAACTGCAGTCACACTCACAGTGCAAAATTAAGGAGAGCATCTCCACCAAGTACTGTCCGGCCTCTGGAACGTAAGTAGTCAACCAAACAGCCCTGAAAGAAAGAAACAAAACAAAAACAAACAAACAGGTGACAACTTTATAACAATACTCTGGATGTTGACAAATCTTCAGACACACACTTGGCCCCCTACCTTGGCCATGTACTCAGTAACTATATACAGACTCCCGTTCTCCTCTACAATTACTCCAAGCAGCTGCACCAGGTTATCGTGCCGTAGTTGCCTGTGGAAGGGGCGGAGAACACAGACGTGTTACTTGGTTTGCATGTTGCTGGTTTATTTATGTTTGTAATATAACACAGAAACGGAGAGAAAATGTGTTATTCTCCTTACGTCATGACAGAAGCCTCTGCAATAAAGGCCTGTGCTGTAGCATCATGTTTTATGCACTTGACAGCTACTTTTGTCCCTCTGTAGTCTCCCACCATGACATCTGGATTGATAACAAACACTATTTATAAATGTAGCAGGAATAACACATTAATGGATACTTTTTTGTTGTATCTAGAAAGAAGCTGAACAACAGCAGGTCCTGTTAAGATTCTGTTAACACACATTTAACTATTTCAACGGTAATTCACCCTTATTCCTGATACAACAACAACAATAATAATAAAAACCTTCACTTAAACTATAGAGGACATTAGGGAACACTTGTACTATGCCGTGTAAACTTGCCTCCAAACTCTCCTTTCCCAATAACCTGCTGCAGCTTGAGGTCTTTTCTGCTCATTGACCAGCCACCTGTTGGCAATTTAAAGAGGGAACGAGAAGAAGCTGAAACATAACAGGCCCATTCATTCTTCTCATAAACAAAAAAGCTGAAATGAATGTAGTTGCATAAATTGCAAAGGACTGACAAACTGAGACTTACTCCTGGAAAACTCATCCTGAGCGGCCACTGTCCCCTCCTCCAGTTTTGGCTTTATTAGTCTGGTGCACAGGCCATCTGCATCTTTGGTGTAGTGCTACAAACACAGCAAAATAAAAAAATAACCAAAAGTACAACAGAAATAAAGTGGAAACACCAACATTGCACCACGTTAAGGGCTCCCACCAAAAGTTGCTCATTGCTTATAGCCTTATAAAAGCAAAAAACAAAGCACAGAAAAAAACACCAGAACTGTACATCATTGGCTAAATGATTTGTCAGGTACCCTCTACCTGGAAAGATTCAGGTTTTAAGGATTCAGGATTGTAGGGAAAAATGGAGCTTTCTGGAAGAAGTTCACAACAAATTTGAATGATAAGTCTCACACTTTATCAAATATCTCTTGGAGGATCTGTCTAGATTGGCTATTAAATGCGGCTAAGGGTTGACTATAATTCCCTATCCCCTATTTCTGTATTTATTTAATGTATGTATTTAGATTTTCTGTTGTTTTGTCAGCGTGTACACTATTTTAACTGTTGGTTCCCGGTTCCCCATGTGCTGGAGTTACTTTATGGAAGATTTAAGCATACTGTGCCAACTTCATGTACACCAACAGAGCTTCAATAAAAATAGATATAACAAAAATCACCAGAATTGGCCTACTCTATGCTCCAGGGTGACCAGTAGAGGGCTGTACAGTCAAATTAGCAAAAGATGTAATGGATGACTGACAAGGTTTTACCTTAAATAGATCTTCCTAAACTTACTCTTACACCTCTTTTTTAATTCTGTCAAATAAATACAATGCTTCTGTTCAAAATAAGCATGCTGCACATGAAAAGGAGTCACTTTGAGAGTCAAAGGCAGAGTGTCTTTTTGAGGTGAGAACTCTGAACCTCAGCATACTGTTCACTCTTCCTCTTTGACACTTCCTGTTCATTATTTGTTCCAGGAACTGTATGTGGTCTTAGTGGTAGCACAGAGACACGGGGACTCTAAAACCGGAAAATACAACTTACATACACTAGAGTAAAAGCTCTATATAGCATCAGAGCAAACACCTTGTTTTATTTAGAAAGCAAAACCTGATATAATGTCTTACCTCAACCAGCTGCATGAGGTTCTCAAAGAACCCCTCCTCATCAATAGTTAGCTTGCCGTTGTGGTAGATGATGCGGTAGTGCTCCACCTTACCATCACAGCTCACACACAGGGTGTAGTCCCCGGGGAAGTTGGTGCTCTCTCGCACCAAGAACAGGCCCGTTTCAGGAGGGTTAAGCAACCGCTCTGCCTGATCCCGTGTTATCTTCCCATGAAACCACCTGGGAGAAGAAGAACCAGAGACGTAACAGTGCACCCAAAAAAACGAGACCTGATTTGACTGTGTTCCCCCACTCTGTCACCAACACTAATCGTATTGCTGTGAATTAAAAAACATTTTGAAATGTACCACAACAGTCCTAGCTCCTTGAAAATGATAATGTATGCATTTCAGAAACCAAATTATTGAAATTTACTTTCCCGTCTGCTGACTTCTTCTGTCTGCATTAATCATTACAAAGCCTATTACATGTACACTCAGTTTCCAGATTTGTAGTACACGTATCTGAAACTACTGCAGTTTAAAACAACAGTCCTGCAATAAATTCTACATATGTGAAGGTTATAAGGTCAGTTTTAGAGAGATGTTGATTTTATGATAATTTTGGCATCTGCAGTTACAGTGTTGTTCAATTATACTACGTTGTACTGAGAAGTGTTTCTAATATTTTGTCCACCCCATTTTATATCAATCAGGGTAGACTAAATATTGGAAACACCAGAATTCGACAGCTCTTCAAACTACAGCCTCCAAAACGTCTATTAAGTTGGATCAACACCTCTCTTAAAACAGTTTCAACAACAATTGAATGTTAAAGCAGGATTGTTGTATTAGACTGGATTTATTTTAGCTAGTTGTATATCATAAGTTAATTTCACTTCCTCCTACTCATTTTTACACAGTCGTTTTAAAGCCTGGTTAGGTTTTATTTTACACAGTGATGGATGAAGTATTCCGATCCTTTACTTAGGTAAAAATAGCAATACCACACTGTGAAAATATTCCGCTATAAGTAAAAGTCAAACCCTTACTTCAGTCAAAGTATTTACTTAAAGTAGTTCTAAAAATGGACCCTGTTGGAATATATGTTGTTTTTCGATTATTATTATTTTACTGCTGTAGCTGATTATGGTTGTGCTAATTTTTACTACTTTATATACTGTTGGGTTTAATCTACAGCAATGCATCATATTCTATAAGAATCGCTTGTCTCTAAAAATTCAAATTTTTATGAACTCAGAACAACAGCAGTCCTGTTTTCTGCTTTGTGACGATAAAGTAGGAGATTTTTTTCAACCCATAAAGGATCACCCAATCCTTTAGTTTATCAGAAACCAATGTGGTTTTCACTAGACAGGAAGGGGACAAAAAAATTACTAGAAAATAACAAATAACAAAAAACAGTCAGACAAAAGTAGTGAATTAAAAGGTACAACTGTTGCCTTTGACATGTAGTACACACTGTACTTATTCTACTGCAGTATAGTTAATATTAACTTTTCTGTGGACTAAATGTTTTTGTGAAGTTATCGTTAGTCCTACTTTTTCCTGTTACCCACTGACATCTGTGTGTAAAAGCATGGAAGCCCAAGTATGAATTTCTGCTGGTTACTGAGGAAATACTACCGAGATCCATTTTGGGCCTCTGTTATCTTCCCTTGTTTAATGCACTTCATAATGACCTTAAATGGGCCATTAATGCAAATAAAACAAATACTGTTCTGGAGATCCAGAGGTGTAGATTACAATAATTTGCATATCCACTGTAACCAGTTTGATTAAGGACAGGGTCACAGAATGTACAATAAATTCATTTGCATCTGTCTCCATGAGAAAATCAATTTTAAATATCACACAGAAAACCTTGATGGAAAGCTGAGCGTTTTTTCACAGAAACATAAGCAGCTTCCATCTGAGTTGAGAAAACTGCATTTTTAATGATGACATTCCTTGACTTTTGTCTATTCTTTGAACATTATGTTTTGTGAGTGTTGCTGTACAAGATAATGGATGCCCATCCACACTGTTCTATATGTATAAATAAGTCAGTATATGTCAAATACACACACATGCTTACTGATGTTTTGTGGTCAGTGCTGGGTAGATTAGGCTAAGGGTATTTTTTTGCGACATAGTTTTGTGTACAAGGGCTCTATAAATAAACCCATCATTCATACACATGCACCCATGCATGCACAAGGAAACCCATCATGTGGAAAAATCGGAAGATTTTTCCTATTACTTAAGTCTGAGATAAAAAGAAAACAACAGGAAATTGAGCAGTGTTCACACAAAGGTGAGTTTGAAACAGACACGAGTGCACTGCAACTCCAACACAGCCCTACCCCACAGCCCCACTGCCATGACAAATAGGCCTTCTGCCTGCAGCGGCCACACAGCCATAGGAGGAGGGCAAAGTCGAGCTATTTTAGCTATCACTGTAGATGCCACACAACGCTGCTATGGTAAGAGTCTATATCTCACTACAGATACATAAACCTAATCATGTTTGCTTTGAGTGGAAGATTACATTTTGCATTAGAACTAAATAAGACATAATAATCAGCATACTCACGGCATTAGACTCAGTTTGCCTCCATGTTTCACACCTTCCCTTTTCTGAACATAGTTGGCTGGAATTGTCCCCTCACGACCTGCAGAATTTTTAGCTTTGTACCAGTTTGGATCCTAAAACACAAAAATAATGTCAGAAATTGTTAAAATAAATGAATATCAATGGAGTAGGTAACATAACCGTGAAGTCATTCCATGCGTTTTCATAACGACAGACAATAAGTGTCACTGAAACATTACCTTTGTGACGACAATAATGGTCAACACATCTCCTTTGTTAAAGGGCAGGTCCTGTTCTGATGTGCCTTTGAAGTTGTACCTGGCCACACACTCTGTGCCCTGTGGCCATGGAGTCTACGGGAACACGGTCAAATCAGTAATTAATAAACAAATCTTTAACAAATGACTCGTTAGACAGGTCCTGTTGTGTATTTGAGCTTTGACACGCACCACTGTTTGTACTATCTTACCTGGACCTCTGTCATGGTGAGGCAGTTCAATCCTGTCACATGTGATATTTTCTAGCTGCTACCATTAGAGCTGGTAAACACACACACACACACACACATGCAGCACCTATAAAGAAAACATAATTTAGTCAATATGACGCCCCTGCTTAACAGATGTTCATTTGAACACATTCTCAGGAAGATGATTAATTTGTTGATTTGTTGCTCAAGGCTGTACGTTAATTCATAGCACACAAGTTATTATCACAATGCACTAGAGTAGCATCAGACAGTTACAGTAAAAATAACTTGCTGATACAGAAAGCAGAACTAACAAGTCTTCTTTTTTTAAATCACACTTTCACAACTGGGGTAGAATGTTTCCATGACGCTGTACAATAGTAGGTACATAAAGACAAGGTTTCAGTGTGTTGATGGACCAATAACACAAATATACTGTTAACATAGATTGTGGAATAATACTCTACCTGATGAATACAAGGCATAACACTTGATCTGCTTTGTACTTTGTATCCATATGGTAACCCAGTTCAATTTGACCAAAAATGTGTGATTCATTGGTTCTCCAGCTAAGCCCCAATGACTGGGCCTTGCAGGAATCAAGAGAGCTCTCTTCAACGCTGAAATGCAAACTTGTGGTGAGATCTGACCAGGCCCAAGGGACTCATCCAGTCCAGCGTTGTCTTTACATCAATAAAGCAGCCAGTGCAACAGTAACCTAAGGCCTAAGTCACCCAGGGCAGTGTTTCCATGACACATGCACCATGAATTAGATAGTGAAATGATGACGTGTGGATTACGCCCTTACCCCAAAACCCCACTTCCTCTCTTCTTGTATCAGTTCCCATGGAGAGGTAGTGGGGCTCAATGGTCAGAGCTCAGGGAAAATCCTTACGTCAATAAATCTATCACAGTTACATGAGGTTACATCCTCCAACATGTCCATTACTATGACATCATCTTCCTGTATGAGAGCCCAGATTAGAATTAGGGTGGGGTTCTCAGAAACATGAAAGATACCACAGATACTCCTGCTCCTTCTTTTAAAAGGCATGGTTCTTCCATTGAAAACATAATCTGGCATGTTTTCTGTGTCAGACATTCAAATAAATACCAAGCCTCTTCACAGACACCAAATGTGAGACTAAAAACTCTCATGTGTCCCAGAGAGGACTGTCATCACTCAGTATGATGAGGATGTGGCGGATGTCATCCCCAATGGACTACTGCAGCTGTCTTTCTGTATCAGGGGACAAAACTATCTGGACACATTTCCCACACCCATCAACGACACCCCCATTTTGCCTCTGCTCATCCCAAACAGAATATTCTACGATGTATTTGGATGTTTCATAATTGTGTGAAGGTCAGAACAGGAAAGGAAGACTAATTGTCTACAGTTATGCAAAGACGTCGTTGTGATGAAAACCAAACCAGTTCCCCCAAAGTCCCTTCTCAAATTGTTTTTACAGATTTTTAAGGGCCTGGAATGTTAGAAGTATCCAGTATTTCAGAAGAAAAAAATGAGTTATTAGAGAAAAGTCTGAAAAAGGTCAAGCTAAATTGTGGAGAAGAAATATTTTTTATTCTTTTCTATCTCATTAATCATCTCGTGACCCTCTAGGATATCCTGACCCTAGGTTGGAAACCACTGCGTTAGATAAAATGCAATGGTGAAAAGAAACTAAACACACTCTGTACTTAAGTACAATTCTTAGTAGTATATAATATAATAGAATTATTTGTACTTTACTTGAGTATTTAAATTTTGTGCTACATATTTTTCACACCTCTACATTTATTTGGTAGTTACTAGTTACTTTGCTGATGAAGATTTTAAGCGTATGAAATACATTGTATTGTAAACCAGTAAATTAAAGCATATTAATGAGCTCTGCCACAGAAAGCTAAAACAAAAATATACACCTTACATATTACTGCTTATCCTTACTCTTTTTTAAATTTATTCATTTAGCTGATGCTTTTATCCAAAGTGACCTACAACTGCCATATATGTCAGAGGTCGCACACCTCTGGAGCAACTAGGGGTTAAGTGTCAATAACAATAATCTAATAGTATAATATATATTAATGTAACAACAGCCTATTTTAGCTGCATATTGACAACCTTTACTTTAGGTATATTTTCTTGATACTTTTACTTATGTGAATAATTGTACTTGTAACTGATTATTTTGAAATTGTGGTATTGCTACTTTTATTTCAGTAAAATATCTTCACACTCATTCCACTACTGATAAAATGTCTGATCACCAACATTCAAAAGAAATGTCTTGGATGGTAATCTATCTGTCATTTCACTCTGAATCACAAATGTCAACCTGCTGGTGGCACTAGAGGGAAAGTCAGGGATCACCAAAGTCATTAAGATGTCATTAAGAAGTCATTCTTTGTGGACCAGAAATGTCTGTAGAGAATTTCATGGCATCCCATCCAATAGTTGTTGAGATATTTCAGTCTAAATCAATAGAGGTGGACTGACCGACACTGGCATCCCTAGAGCCATGCTGCTAGCGTTGCTAAAAACTCATCTAACGTTGGTGAAAAATCCAATCATCAAACTAAAATCTCAGTATGAGTTATAACTTGAAACAGGAAGTCATGCTCATAATACTCAGAATTTGTTGAGTGCAATAGACAATGTCTGGGCAAAGTCCTTGGTGAAGGTGCAAAGTGATCTCACCATGTTAGGAATGGGTCTGACACAACAGCACCTTTCTAAGAAGTCTCTTTTGGGACAGTGAATGCATCTCAGCAGCAGGCCACCAGCAGCTGATTGAATTGGACAGAACCCAGTCTGTCATGGTGTCACACTGCCATTTCCAGAGAGCTCTACATGGAACCACGACTTGCTGTTTTCAGGAAGTGGACAAGGCCGTCATTGTGAGTCGGTCGAGTTTCTACTGACCTCTGGGCTTCTACTGACCCCTATCTCATTGAGAAGTCCATCATCATCAGTCTGTTCAGCGATTAACTTTAAGGGTAGCAATGCCTCAATTCTGCAGGTCCAGAAATATGAACTGTACTTCAGATTTTATTCTGTGAATACAATCAATGTGTCTTCTGCTCTGTTATCATTATGTGAATTCTACTTTCAACAAAGACATACACTTACAAATACATAACAATGCCATGAAATAATGTTTGTAAGCAGTTACATCAGACTTAGAGATGTTGTCTGCTACAGGAGAAGTGATACATGACTGCTTGAAGGAACAGGAAACCAGTAAACTCAGTGACAGATTAAACATGAATGGAGTCAAACGACTAAGAAACAGAGGTGTCATATCTCTTCAAACAAAGCTTATGTTGCTATTATAGTCCAATATGCATATTTATGGAATCCATAACAATCGTATTGTTCAAACCAAACCAGTTTATCAACATTTGACTAGTTTTGTGCAAGTCAGTCGTAGTCTGAACTACAAATCAGGGGCAGCCTGACTGCGCAAAGCAAGACAGGACAGGAATGTAGAAGTACCTTCTCTGGCCTTGTTTAAATCTGCCACTCCCTTGACTATCTGTAGACTGAATCTGAGGTGAAAATGCTGATCATGCTAGGTGTTGCAAAAGCTACTGTGACGTAAATCAGTGGCTCCAGTTGTTTTTGTTTGTGATCTCTTGCAGAAATGCAGTGTCTACATAGAGCCACACAACACTATTCCAGCCATGATTTGTGTGTCATGTACTGTTAAATGACTTGTCCACCGCCTCTTAGCTTACTTTCTAGTTTGCCAAGACATGCTATTGTTGTGATGTTAGCTATAGTAGCAGGAGAGTTGAGAGTTTCGCTGTCTGGAGTTGGTGTGCTGGCTCTGGGACCGTCTCATCCTCTCTTTTTGTCAGCTTCGCAGCAGCAAGTAGCTACAATTTGCTAAACCCCAACTTATCCAACATTATTTCGCTCTATATCATGGTATTTGTCATGGTATTGTGTTTCTCCAAAATCGCACACCCCACTTTTAAGTGTGTTACTTTTAAGTGTGTTACGCTGATAATACTTAGTGCTTTTACTCAAGTACGATTTTTAATGGAGCTATGGAGGTATTCTTACATTGACTCATCATCAGTCATGCATTGGTACTTTTACTTGTGTGAAGTGAAGGATCTGAATACTTCTCCTACTAACAGTTATCTTGTGGTAAGAATGTCTACTTGAGCATCATGTCTGTGTCATTAGCTGTGTGCATCCCTCTTCCATGTACAGCACGGGTCCTCGGGTCTCAGGATGCTCTGCGGCTGCTTTGATGCTGCTGCCCTATTATCATCACCATTACAGCAGCAGGGTGGTAGGGCTAAGTGCAGAGAGAAGGAATAATGATTTCTGTCCATATTCACTGAGCTTTCATCTGGCAGATACAAACCAACACACATAGCGGGGAGAATGCACACAGTGCGTGCCAATAGTTCACCGGGCTGGGTGTAAGAGACAGCCTGCAGATGTTCTTGAGGAGCCTCAGAGAAGGAAATCATTTCTGCCACCGGGACAACAGCTGGACTCTGGTGCAGCAGCACGGCTCACTGAAACAACTGTCTGCCGGATGTAAGAGCGGAAGTACAAGTCCAGTGCTAGGCCTTGCAGTACAAGCTGTCATTGTATCATGTTAATGACTCCCAGTTTTGCCTGTGGGGCTCTGTAATACAAGGCATGAAAGCAAATGACAGGGCATACACCTAAAATAGCACCCCTCCTTATCATAAATAAACGTAAATTTTAAAATAAGGTTGTTTTCAGATTAACAGGAAGAGGAAAATCAATGATTGTCAATCAGCGGGAAATTCCCCTTAAAATAATACAGTCAACTTTGCAGTTTAATCCAATCCAAAGTTCAAACACCACAACAAAGGTCTTCACACTCATGAAACTTTGGGTAATTGATGATTTTACATTGTAAACCCATCAGAAAGACACCATGCAAGGCAAAGCTGCCAAGCCTGAGCGGTGGACGGACACTTCCTTGCTGTGGTGCTGTGCACACCATGCAATGCAACGCTGTTCTGCTGATGCAGCCATGCATGACACATTACAGGGTAGCAGCTATGCTTTGCTGTGGTTTCATGAGCTCTCTTCATCTTGTTTCACCAGCTTAATCCTTCCTTACAGTTTTGTCACACTAAAATATGAATCCTCTAATGGAAAAGTATCTAAGGCTCAAGACTGGCTTCAGTCTTATTCAGAAAGTAGCTGACCTTTGAGGGAATTCCTGACTGAGCCAGAGGGGCATCACCCCAAACAGACCCAAGAGGTCCTCAGTTCCTCTCTCTGACAAACACTACTTTCAGTAAACTTTTGTTTTCTGTTTGGCACTTGCTTTTAAATGCATTGGTGGCTTTTCCAAATTTGCGACTGACTGTTTCCTGAGAATGACAGAATAAATGAGAAAACGCAATATCCAACAGAGAGGCATTACCATTTATTTCATAATAACCCTTAGCAAGTCACACTGCAATTGCAGCCAGCTTTGCAAAACCAGTAACAGCTTCAGAAAACTGTCAAAGACCTCTAGGCTATGTGACAGTTCGCATGCATGCTCACAATCTTGACTAACTAGAATGTTATTGTCATTATCGATAACAGCATCTACCATGTTGTGAAAGAGCAACGTGGAAAGTTGCGCGATGCAACTGCTGCACCCCAGGAGCCAGAGGAAGTGGCAGAAGTTTGAAGGAAGAAGGATGTTAACCAGACCATGTCTCTCATGAAGTGACGTTTATTAAGTCTATTTTTGTTTTACTGTAAAGGACTTTTATGTAACAAATACAGCTCATAGCGAGTATTGATAAACGCTTGATTTTTATGTACTTGCCACAGCCTCCAAACACCAATGCCTTCCGAATGTAACTTCATTACAGACTTTCAGTCACTGTACATTAATATAAAGTGCACAATATAACAGGTTAGCTATATTTTAGAGAGGTATACGCAACATAACAGCTTCATTGTATCTATAAGCCATTTCATAATAAAAATGTTACCTGTTTGCAGGCAAACTAAGAGATTTGATGCAGCAGGTGGTTCAGCTACTGCCAGACGTCGGTTTTCATCTGAGCGACAGCGGACAAAGTCCCATTCACGAGATAAACAACCGACAGCTGGTGTCGAAGCGCAAAACACATCAAATCCTGATGAGGAAGTGAAATCTGTCACAGGTGACTCAAAACTTCAGCAGGCCAAAAGTACCTCAGTAAAACCAGCCGTCTCCTGTCAACATCATTTGGAAAGGAAGTCTTATATGATGGAAAATTAAGTTCTGAACAAACGTCTCAGTCTCGAGGGTCCTAAAAAGTTAAGCGTCACAAATACGTAAGAACTCAACTTAAGTATTAAAAAATGAAGCGATGAAATGGGGTTAATAAACGCGATTCTGAAGTTTGAGTCTACAGCAGGCGGCCCAGTCCTTTTCCCCGTCAGAAACATTCAAGTTTTTTTTTGCCCCACCTTGATTTTGCAGTGCACATGCGCGTTACTACTCTGGCTAAAAATGGATCACCAGATCTATTTGAGTCAAGTTCATGAAGGAATTTGATCATCAATATTTCCCCCCCAAAAAACACGACAGAAAAAGCTCTGGTGAACGTTTGTTTTATTGTTTGAATCTACAGACATGAAACAAGAGGACTGCACAGTGTTTTATGCACGAGAACCCTGACAGTGGACTTCGTTCCCAAAAGGAAACGGTTGTCCTGTCTAGACAAAATCCCACCGCTGGCTGTTAACGCGACTTTTCTGAACTGCAAGCTGACCTCGCATGGCCTAAACGCCCAGTGCGGATCTCAGAAGCGCTCAGAATTTAAAACATGTATATTGATTCTAAAGAAGCAAAACCTGCGTTTAAACAACAACTTTCAAACAAGCTGCTTTTATGTCAGATCACCACATAATGTCCGACTGTTCACATTTCGTAGAGAAATTACACTATTATTGGAGGAAATGCTATTAAAGTACATAAAGCTGCCATTACAGCAGAATAAGGAAGAGCCACCGAAAGTGTGGTTTCGTGGCCCCCTGGAGGCCACAGAGTAACAAAACTCATCTTAAATTCACAGTCGGTAATGCTGGCTGATGTTTTCGAGCCAGACTTGTCTCAACAGATGTGACATAACACATCAGGCCGGAGGAATGCTGGAGAACGGACAAAACCCTTGTGCCTGAAAGTCACTTTCACCCAGTCAGCATATGCACCCTGTGCAGGCTGATGTGCACAGAGAAAAAAAAAAAACCCAAACATATAACGCATGTATTTTTAATCCTCCTAAGACCTTAACAAGTTAATGTGTGGACAAAACACCATAAACCATATCCCAGATTACATGATTTGTAATCTCTGCAGCTGTGAACTTCAGCCTTTTCTAGACTACACTTACATCAATGATATGAGATTTAAGGAGCTGTTGCTGCACAATACACATGTCCAGTAAAGATTGGTGAACTTAAGATGACAGCTTCTGTTATGCACACATTTCAGATGAAAATGTGATCTCGTTAAAGAACAAGCAAAGGGTTTGACTTTCATTGTACAAAATATCTGGCAGTAGAGAAGCTCACAGCCTCTCTGTCAAGGCCTCAAGAAGCAGCAACACAAAACAAGCAGCTCTTCTCGATTTATATTTCACAGGCTGTGCTTTAGTTTTATGATAAATACCACTAACGGTTGAGCACATAAACAGGCGTACTCCATAATGTCAGGAGAGGGTGGACAAAATGTTCAACAATTTCCAATCACAAAGACCAAATCTAATTGGTTCAAAGAGGGTTCTCTAAGTTGCATCTTGACAATTGAATCCCACATATACAGAGCATTTAAACAAACAACTTTGATCAAAAAGTGTCAACATTCGAACTGCCAAGGTAAAAATTCAATCACGTGATCTGAATCTTAATAGGAACCATACCAGTGGGTTGTTTTAGCTTATTCATTACAAAGGCAGGCATAAACTGGCTTCTATTAATTTTCATACAACATAAAAAAATCTACTAGGAAACTCCTGAAACGTAAGTCCATCACAGACAATGTCAAGCAAGTGTTCATTTTTATCAGTGTAATGCAGTGCAGAGTTTTGAAATCTGCACTTAAACTACACTACCGTACAAATATGATTCAACACTGACCAAAACTACTGCAGACTTGATGTTCGCTGTGATGGATCACGTAACATAAGAGTTCTTAAGAGTCTGTTAATTGATTTTTTTTTACTGTACTGTAATAATTGGCAACCAAAGGAATATACATATATGAACAAAACATTTTACTCTAGTTTGCATTTAAAACAAGATCAGCAAAAATGTTAAATACACATTTGGATTTGTAGCCAAGAAACTGACACTTGCCAACACTCTGGTATGGTCCTTTAACCAATACAATAGAGAGCTGAAGTGAAACTGGAACATCAGACTTCTGCTCCGGAAGTAAGAAAACCTCATTGACATTTTTAACAACGCTAATAACTAGAACCAAGCCTGGGAACAGACGTCTCAAGAGTATCTTGTGTTTCTTGCTTCATGTGTTTAGACAAGGACTTTATTTGTTTTTAAAAGAATGACCTAATATCTTTAGCCACACTGTCGTGCTTGTAACAGGAGATGTAAAAGGCAAGATTGCTGGAGGTTTTGTATGCTGTGTCATCTCTTTTAAGCCCTTATAACAGCCTAATTCACCATGGACAAACAAAACTGCTGATATTTGGATTCACTCCAGTAGCTGCCCTATTCAACATTGGTTCAGTTTGAAAACACAGCATTACTCACACAAATGACAATATTCCACATTTGCTTAGATGGAAATTCTATCCTAATAAAACATCAAACAGCAACTAAGTGCTGCAGAGTATAGCTGGCCATAAGTAAAGCCACTGGCAATGCTGGAACCAATGTAAGTTGTATTTCTCATCCATATTACTGTAATAAAATCACATTTGCCTGTTTGATATGGTGGTTCTGTTTATTCACCAGATCGTTTTGTAATGAGGTTAGATTGACATTCAGATTTATTTTCCATTTTAAGTCAGAGACTGTCCTGCTCAGTTTGTAAATGAACACTGTGTTGTATTTTTGAAGCTTCAGCTGTATTTATGAAAAACCTGTCTTCCAAATATCTGGTAAATACAATGGTATCTACATAACTGCTGAAGCCTCTAATGCTCAACACATTTACTTTTCAAATAACGCTCTTTCCTATCTCACCCATATGAACTTAGTCCTTGTAGAACTAATGTACTCAACAGTGGTCCTTCAGTATGAGGGGAAAAGTCCCGTTCACATGTTGATGGGTTAGCAATTTAGCTAATAAACTTTACAAAAAACAAAAACAAAAAAAACCAAACAGCTGATAATCAGGAATATAGGGTGCCAAAACCCAAATGGCCACGGAGGGTGAAAGATTTAACTGGTCTTGTTGACTATTAGTCAAATTATGCAGAGTGCAAGGGGATGACAAATTTGCAACCAAAAGGAGAATGGTACTTGATTCCCACTTCCTGGAAAACCTGGCGAGGAACACCTATGTCACACAAGTAAACGCTGCCAGCACCCTCAGCAAGGGGAAGTGGGAGGCAAAGAGAGAGGGACCACTTTGCCTCGACTGCCTGCCCCTGTCCACTACCAGGAGGGTCTAAGCTGAGCACTGGCGCTCGGTTCTGGTTAGCCCAGTCTGCAGCTGCTCGGTACCAAGGCTGATCCATCAGGAACGTGTTCTCGTGGCAGTCCAGGGAGTTAATGATTAGGTCCACTGGGGTGTCTGGAAGGTCTGTGAAGTCCGAGAGAACAGCTTAAAAATCTCAAAGTACATGGCTTGACCTGATCACCTAGAATGCAAAATGTGAAGAAGGAAAAAAAACTTAAAAAATCTAAGTAGAAAAATAATCCCACCTTTGATACTTGACACCTGTTTGCCACCAGTCTTGTTGAAGAGTGTGAGCTCACTGGTGACAGAGTCAAGCATCTTGACAAAATTGGGCAGAAACAGGATGACCTCCACTTCATGATTGGCAAGATGACGACCACAACTGATGCCCTGAGCTCCCTGAACATGGGGGCCACAAAGCAGAGCCACTGTGGGACGCTGGTGTAAGTTTTTTGGAGTGAATCTGGAAGAGACGTGAAAAAGGAAACTAAGTGGCCTTTCTGAATTTTGTCTTCTCCCAACACTTACTGCCAGTAAATTCAAATTTGGCATGTAAAACAATAAGGTTCACTAGTATGGAGATCCAAAGTGTCTAATAAGACATTAATATATATGTAATCATGAATATATAAAAGACAAAATAGGTAATATTTTACATTTACATATTTAGCTGATGCTTTTATCCAAAGCGACTTACAATTGCTATATATGTCAGAGGTCACACACCTCTGGAGCAACTAGGGATAAGTGGTGTCTCACAGTTGATTCGAACCCGGGTCTCTCACACCAAATGCATGAGTCTTATCCACTGCTCCATCACCACCCACCATAATTGTGAAACAATCAAAAATATTTTTAAAACTCAATACTGTGACATGTGTCTTTCCACTTCTTTTCTGATTATTTAATAATAGTTAATCAATATCAAACACTTGGGGTCTTAAATCAAAACACTGCCGTATTTTGTAACAGTTGATAATGTAACCTCGCTAACAACACTTATCTACTGTGAGCAGGTAAGTAACTCATTTCTATGAAAAATTTAAAAAATATACTGGACAGAGAAAGAAGAAGGTTCAGTGTGTAAGCTTTAGTTGCATCTAGTGGTGAGGGCTGCAAATTGCAAACAGTCACTCACAGTGCATTCAGGTGCTCCTCGGATGGTAGCATTATCAGAGCATATAAACAACACGTAGACATCTAGTTCACTCTACATGGATAGCAATTTAACCATTATAACTATATCACAAACTACATGTTTGCAAAATATATATAGGCAATTTGTGAATTTGCACAAATCAAAGTTTTTTACACTTCTTTATGTTCCATGCACACTTTATTTCTCTTTTTACAATAAAGATTTAAGGAGGGAAAAAGATTCTGATTATTCCAATACCACAAGAATGTACCGCTCACCCCTCCCTTTACAAGCGTGCAGGAGAATCTATGGTTGCCGACACGCTCTGTCGGCAGAAATGTCTCATTCTAAAGTAATAAAAACATAACAGTTCATAGTGTAAGATCTTTATACACCACTCTAAACATAGTTATGTATATTATATTGCATTTCTGTCAAAATATCCTCCTAAATATTACACACTGGACCTTTAACATTTAACTAATGCTGTTCTCCTCGGTGCATACAAACCATCAGTACATGCTTACCTGTTCGGCCCACCCAGCAATGTAAGTGCCATCTGACTGGCACATATTCCAGTCATCTCAAGTCTTCGCTCCAGTGACAGACCATAACGCTCAGCGACTGACAACAGACGCTTGTGTAGTTCATAGGATATACTGGGTACAACAAGCCCTGAGTCTGTACGGAAATAAAGAACAAGTCTATAACCGATAATTTTGCCTTCACTACTATTTGTTTCATTACAATGTGACACACTTACCAGTGCAGTACTCCTTGGCACCAGGCTGTGGTACAGTAATCTGTCTGTACACAATAGGTTTGGCCTCCAGGATGTTTTCATCATGACGATACCGTGAGGGTGTCTGTTCTTGAGGTGTCCCACGTGACCTTGCACCGTTACGGCGCTCTGACGTGTCGATTTCAGAGAAAACTGCTGCTTTGTCAAAAAGAGCCAAGTTTCCTTCAAAATCAAAGTCTGTATCCAGCCCGTCATCCATGCCATCCCCAAAACACTCGTCGTCTCTGTGCTTCATCTGACCATTCTTCACTCCGTTCTTTTTTGGTGTCACTTGGTTTGCCCCTCGACTACTAGATGACCCTGGTGGAAAAATACTTAATAAATCCCAACACAGCAACAATCAACAATATTCGTTTCTGGCTGAGCTTTATTACATTGCACTTACAGGAGTTGTGTCTTCGACGAAATCCTTTTGGCTGGCCAGGTACATCCAGATGCCGGTCTCCATAGCTTTTAGAGCAGTGTTGAGGAGAGTTAATTTTCTCCACACACCTGGGGTCACCCTTTGGTACCGTAACTGGAGCGCTGTTTACCTTTGCAGAAGAGCTGTTCCTAACACTGCCATTTCTGATATCTAAAATCTTTAGTTCCTTTATGTCAATGGCACTGCAGAAATGAAAAGTTAAAATACTATATTTAGTAACAGGAAGAAACAGTAGGTTTTTTATCAGCCCCGTCTGTGAAAAACAGCAAGTGAGCAAACAATTTGTGGCTGAGCTTTACCTGAATGTGACCTCGGGAACAGGGCACTTGACTCCATTATGGAAAGGCTGTCTTAAGGAGATAGTTTGGCTGATCTGGTCCACAGATACCACCTCTCCTTGATAGACTCCCAGTGTTGGCCCACAGTTAATTGAAACCAAACTACCCAACCAATCCGCAGCCATGACTGCACGATGTAAAAGAACAAACGTTTCTATTTAACGTTTCTTGTCCGAACAGCTCTGTAGTAACCACACACTTTCTGTTAAAGTAATAAGCTAATTGTCTTCAGTAGGACATCAGAAATACTAACTGCTTGATGTTACCGAATAGTTATGCTAACTAGCTAGAGTTAGCGTCGGCCTGTTATCTAGCATAGCTAACGTTAAGTTATTATCTAGCGTTAGTTTCAAGACGAAAACGCTGTACTTGGGATTAATGCGAAGCACACTCTTTTCAAGAACTCAAGTGATTGAAGTACTAAGTTAAGTGCTAAAAGGAAAAGTGTTACTCCCTTAAACTGCTAGTTTTTATCTACTTGAATGGTGAAAAGCTGCTGCTAGCTTCTGGATGACCTCTTCTTCCTTTTGTATTATGACGAATTTCAATCAATGAATTTGATGTTGCATACTGCCACCTAGAGTGCCGGCGTATGAAGAAATTGTTTTGCATTGAATTCTGAAAGATAAAAAAAAAAAATTAATAAATCAAATAAATGAATATGAATGCAAACAAACATGAGAGATAAATTACTTCTGGGTGACTACTTCCAGCTTCCAATATGCATTAAAGAGCTGAGTCACGTGCAGGCTAAGGCTTATGACAGCCTGAGCCTTAATTTTGATGCGCATTTTTGAAAGATAGGGCTGAATAATGGTCTGACTGGAGTGTGCAAAGAAAGAACTTTGGATTTAGTCAGTGGCATGCAATATTTCACGCTGAGCTGTAGAGTGTTCATGTTATCATCACATGCTTGCTTATCCCTTGAGCTAAAATAAAATCCTTTGAAAACTATCAAAGAACATAATTATGGTAGGGCTATTTTCTCTGTGTGTGACTAAAGGAACCCATAACCAATCCTGACTCATTCACTCATAAATCATTAATCAGAGGTAAGCTATGTGTGTCATGATCACTGTTTGGGAGATGTTCTTAACAACTCATTTCAACAAACAGTAAGTCAGCAGACTGAGTGAGATCATGTGGAGACTATCCCAGAAGTGTTCGCACATAACACACCCGCCCCACTGCGTCCTCTGTGCATGGGTTACCATAGATACTCAGTTCAAGGGCTGTATAGTGAAAAGCTTGCAATCAAACCTGTGTGAGGCATAAAAGCAGAGCAAGTGAGTATTGTCAGTGGACTGGAGCGGGTTTCTGCAGCAAGGTACTGTAAGAGAAAGTATAATTTTGACTCCAACTGATAAATCAAAACATATGTTGTGTTTCATTTCTTGTCAATCACCTTTTTATACATTTGATAAGACATAATTGTATTTTGATGTGGAAAATGGTGTAATTAACACATTTAAAATAACAAACACACTGTAATTGTCATGCAGTGTTAAAACTAGATGTTGACCATCAAGCAAGCAGTGGAAATATCAGGACACATGATCCAAGAATAGCCACACACCTCAAGCTGGCACCTTTGTGTGAAAATCTATCCCTGACGCTTGGGGAAATGAGGACTGCCTCTACCATACAAAGGCAAGTGATAGTTTGGATCTAGAAAGACACTCCAAGATGTTTAGACCCTCATGCAGAAGTTCAAGTCCATTTTCTTTCATGGACCTTGACATGTGGGACACCAAATCTCGCTTTACAGCCCAGGTAAGGCTGAGATATGACTTTTTTTTCTGGTAGTTGATTGAAGTGTAGTGGTTTTAAAAATTTGTGTTTTTCTTTCGTAGACCTCTGCGTGGTGTGGCATGGCGACTGTCTCTGGGTCAGGGTTTCTGTCCAAAGTCAGCACAAGGTGACGGGAAAATTTAAGCAAGAGACATAGTAATGTATTAATTTTCAACAGTGGTGTAAAAAAATTCTAGCTGATATACTGTATGTATTCCAGTACATCTGGGAGCACAGGTGGCTTCAGCCAGAATGACCCAGGTCTAAGGAAGTGGCAGTCATTGTCCCATCTGGTGCCTGATGGTGCTACACGATCCTTTCCTCCATGTCCAGGGGCTAAATTAAGGACTGCCCGGGGTGAAAGTAGCTTTAGACAAGCAGAAGTGGCGCAATGCCTGCAGGATGCTCATGTGCGTCTCGACACTCAGCTGGACCGGCTGAGAGCCAGAAATTCTCAGCTGAGCGATGACATAACTACTGCAAAACTACTTGACATGAAACATAAGGTAAGTTTAAAAAGAAGTACATTTAAATCTCTGTGGAAACTAATTCTATGATAGACCTTTTTTTAGCCTTTTTCTCCCTCCCGATTGTTTTGTTGTTGGGTCAGTTTTACAGTTTTTCTGCTTTGAATAGTTTGATATGTATTTCAGTTGCACACAGCATCCTATGATCTTGCACTGATGTGTTTCACAGCAGCTGTCAGAAGTGATGAGCGCTCTTGAGCAAGAGAAGGAGGCAGCTGAATTGTCCCAATTTGAAAAGAGCCAGCAACGTGGAGAGCTTCATGAAAAGTAAGTTCTGCAAAAGACAGGGAAAGGATGATCGGAACAACTTTAGAATAGATTTGAAATTCTTCATGCAAAATTCACCCACCAGGGTCCTACAGCTGGAAAACAACCTGCAGCAGATGAGGTCTACTTTCGCCAGAGGGAGTAATGATCAACCAACCGAAAAAACTCCTGGCTTGCTTCACAGAGTACCAATGCGTGAAGACTTTAACAAACAGGTGTGTAAGCTTTATGTATTATGAAAAATAATGTATTATTCTGAATTCCCATTTGCCAAACATTGCTTTTACACATGGCTTCAATTCAGGAGAGACAGACGGTTGACACAGAACTGTACAATCTGAGAGAGGCTCTGAAAGGTGCTGAGGCGAGGGCAAAGACACAAGAAGAAGAACGAAACCAGGCACTCCAGAAACTCCAGACTTCTACTGAGGTCAGTTAAAAAATATACAAGGAAAATCTCAAAATGTACTTTTTATTGCTTTTTATGCGAGATCACAAATTTGCACTCCAGTTGCCTGCTGTACTGCCAGTTTCTTTTCTTTCCATGCACCTTTAGGCTATGTATTTTGTTCCCATGTGCCTAGACACAGAGAACGATGTTGAATCAAATAGAGGACATGAACCAGAGGCTCATCCACACAAGACAGAATCACTCTGACATGCAAGAACAGCTGAGTGAAGCAAACAACAAGATCAGCCAAGCATGCCTGGTCCGTTTCAATTTGACCTTATCCTACATTACATTGCAACATTTTATAATAGGAATTACACCTTCAAAATTATCTTTAATTCTTCTCAGGAAAAAGCCATCTTGTCAACTCAGGTGCTAAAGCTGGAGGGTAATATGAAACAAATGAGGCCTCTGTCTGACGATCATCATCAGGAAAATGTTAAAATGATGCAGGAAGAACTGAAGGTTCTCAGAGAGGTTGAAAGCTTTAAGTGGACATATTTTTGTTAAGTTGTTACCTTTTCTAAATTCTTTATTAAATGATCCCTGTTGTGTCTTTACACCAGGTGAATGAAAAGCTGACACGTGAGCTTGAAATGATTACGCAGAAACTTAAGACATCACAATCACAGCTACAGGTGATAACAGCAGAGAGGGTCAACAACTCTAAACAAATCACAGATCTGGAGGCAGAATGCTCTCGGCTGATCAGAGAAAAAGAGGAACTGCTGAGTAAAATAAATGGACGACACGAGGAGCTCACAGAGATGAAAGAAAAGTGCAGCCAGCTGAGGTGAGATTGTGATCAAACACTATTCTTTAATGTGAAGATGGATGTTTTATTTTCAAATATGCGGTGTAGTTTAAGTACCGAACTATCTGTCTAGGGAATCTGTGGAAGTAATGGAATTAGAAAAACTGAAACTGCAGGATCAGTGCATATGTTTGGAAGCCAAAGTCCTTGAAAAGCAAGAGAGTCTACACCTGCAGGAGGAAGAGTATCGTAAACAAGATTCAGTCAGAGTCCAGAGCATCGAGGAACTACAAGCTGTGGCCACACATTGGACGGAGAAATGGCAAAAAGTGGCTTTGGCCCTGCAGTCCACACAGGAGGAGCTAGAGGAACTCAAAAAGAACAACTCGACGAATGAAGTAAGACACTTTACCTCTCCATTAAAAACAACTTCATACCACAGCAGTGAATTTAATGAATTCAAAATCTAATTTCAGCTCCAAGCTGAAGATGTAGGCTTACATCTGGAAAGTGAGATTGAAAAACTTAAGAAAGAAGGCCAGAAAAACAAGTGAGTCTATTTTACAAATCACTAAGTCCACCAATTAATTACTGTCTAAATCACACAAATCTTGTTTTGATAATACACATTTTCCTACACAGAGAAGAGATTGAAAATCTGCTGCAGCACAAAGCCAATGTGGAGACAGTGCTGACCAGAGCCAAGGTAGCATCTCCGTGAAAAGCTTTTGTTCTTGTGCCACTGAAATGATTGAATTGTTAAAAATGTAGCAGATATTTATGGGTTATTTAACTATATGCTTTTTAACAGAAGGATTCTGACTCCCTGCTAAGGGTTGAGCTTGACGCATGCAAACAAGAGCTGGAGCTGGAAAGGAGCATGAGTCAGGCGCTGCTTCACAGATATAAAGATAAAGGTAAAGGTGAATGTAATTCTTAGCCAGCTCAGCAGGATTACTGTTAAAACACAGCAGGCGTCCAACTCCAGAGAGTAAATGTTATTTTATTCTTTAAACACAAGGGGGCGTTAAACTGCTGTGACCTTGTATTCGCAGGAGGTGAACATGTGCAGACCCAGGACAAACAGACAGCGACAGAGTGAGTGGATGAAGAGATTTTCATTTTCAAAATTCCCCATCAGCAAATGCTCAAAATGAAATTCTTTGATCTGTCTCTTTATCGCGTACTCTATCTGTTTATCAGCTTATCAGAATTCTCTTTGTTATGGGAGCCACCATCAGACTCCCAGAGCAGCCAAAACAAATCTGCCCAGGTAACAAGATGTTCCTACCTCACTCAACTTTTCAACTTTTCAAAATGTTCAACAACAGTAAAGATGCAATTGCATGGTGGAATTTTATTTAAACTTGTATTTAAATTAAATATTTTGTGTTATATAACATTGACAGATAACATTCATGATTAATAGGTGTGCATACAAAGCATTAAGGATCAAAGGATGAAGCAAAAGTTGGCTACAAGAGAGAAGGAACTGAGGGAAAAGTAAGCTTTTCTTTGACAGAGTGATGAATGACTGATTGTTTGAAAGACTGAGAAGCGAGTGTGTGACAGGTTTTCATCATTACTGTGATAGGGAAGAAGCTTTGAAGAGTCTAGAAAGGCTGAGAGAGATGGAAAAAAACAAGGCTCAACTCAAGATTTCTGCTCTGGAGCTCAAGGTGCAGTCGCTACACCCTAAACATGCAGTCTCAAATACATTGATCTATGTTTAACCACCTGTGAGCCAGCATGTGTTGAATTAACCAGCAGCGTTATCATCTCTGTTTCTCATGAAAAAGGCCTCTGAGGATCATCAGGATGATGGAGGCCAAGCAGATGACTCAACTACTAACTCACTGAGGGCCCAGCTAGAAGGTATGAGCCCACTTCAGAGGATAATAATAATAATAATAATCTTTATTTGTAGAGCACTAATGGATAATGTGTTGATTTTCCTCACTGGCTCAGCTCTAAAACTTCTTCCTCCACGTGTTTTCAGAGAGGAGGAGGAGGGCGAATCAGCTGCAGCAGGAGAAAACGCTGAGGCAGCTTTACCTGGTAAAGTTAATAAAAACAACACGTCTAAAGATGGCCTCCTGGGGTGGTGATGAGCACAATCCATGACAGACTCCTTGTCTACAGGTTAAAGATGAAAAACCCTCTGTTGACGGCAGGAAGGATAAAACTGTTGGTTCAGTAATTCTAGAGACGGACCAGCAGAGGAGGATGGTTACTGAGCAGGTATATAACGTAACACAATTCAGTCCACCTTTTTTTAGCGCCATCATAATGTTAGTCAATCGGTTTGCTACTTTGGTTCAAACTGAAATATCAGACATTTGATGAATCCTACTGACTGCCCTGACTTTTTTTCTAGCCTCATCATAAGGTTGATATTTGTGAATTTGAGTGAAGTTTGAGTGAATATCTAAACAAATATTTGATGGATTGAAATTTGACAGAGATTCGTGTCTCTCAGGGCGTCAAATACTGATGCTCTGAGAAAGCCTGATGAATTGTAAAAACTTAGGTCATCATCTGACTTTTTCTAAAGCTCCATCATCAGGTCAACATTTTAAATTGTCCAATATAATGAACCAATTTGGTCTACAAATACCTACAATAAAACATTTTGGAGAAGACATTTCCATCGCCCTCAGCTATACATTGTGTTTGGTGCTAATAAGCAGTGTACTTAAGTACAATTTTGAGTTACTTATACTTTACTCCAGTATTTAAGTATTTTCTGCTACTTTATACTTTTACTCCACTACAATACAGAGGCAAATATTATGTATGTTATGTTATACATAATTATTCCCAAGATACCTGGAAAAAGTAAATACAGTAACTGTCCCACCTTTACAAGATGAAACAGTGTACACATTAATGCACCACTAATTATAATCCAATAATATAATGTCCCATTCTGCATAATGACTATTTTTACTTTTGGTAGATTAATTTTGATGCTGATGCTTTTACATGTGTACAATTGTGAATGCAGGACTTTTACTTGAAACAGATTATTTCTACATTGTGGTATTACACAGCTATTAGCATGCTAGTTAGTGTTGTCACTGTGAGAATGCCAATATGACCATTTTGCCTGTAGCTTTAGTCTTGTTTTATATGTGATGTAAATTACAGCAAGCCTCATAAAAAGATATATACTGTATCTTATATTTGTAGTTAAAGAGTCTGTTTAAGGAGCAGGAAGGAAAAGAGGTGGGAAAGGTTGATAACAGATCAGCTGCAGCTCAGACTGGCGCTTCCTCACTGCAAGACCGGACTCCCAGATCTAAAGTTATAAGGGTAATAAGCCTCAGCAAATCAACACTAAAAAAAATATGAGAATTCTGTAATCCAGTAATCCTGTATGGATTGCACCAATGTGAACATGTGCAGAAGGAACAAGTCTTGTGTTTTTTCATTTTCATTCAGAGTGCAGTGGACTGGAGGAGCTGGCAGCAGGGCTCAGGTTTGATGCCAGTGTTTGAAGAGGATGAGGAGAGCAGTGACTGGCCGAAAGGGGAGGTGGGGAAGCCAGCAGAAGAGGCTCATACTGAGGAAAATTTCCACCAAAGTCAACAGGTTGGAAAGACTTAAATTACACCAAGTGGAATGGTTACCATGTCGAATAGCTAAATGAAACATCAACATATTCCTCCAGCCACCACAACACATGACTGTCTGTCATGCTAGGATTTTTCATGAATGATGTACCAGCATCTGCAACTGATGAAATGATGAACATAATAACATTAATGGCATAATCGTGGCACATAGCGCATGTCGTAGAATTAACAGAACTACCCGCACATTCATACATTACACACACACACACACACACACACACACACACACACACACATATATATGTGCAGACAGCACCAGTCCCGGCTTCTGCATTATCAAAGAGCATCTCACGGCTGTGAAACATAGTCCAGCTATAATCTCACATATGTCTCTGTCGACTCTGTAAATAATCTATAATAATCTAATAATAATCGGATTTGAAGCTGTTCACTGCTCAGCATCTGACTAGACCATAAGAGGATAGGAAAGAGTTACGACACGGTCTTATACTGAAGGCCTGTGACAGTCTTATACTGACTACCACAGTATGACAGAAACTTACTAGTTGGTAACTTCCAGGAGTGATATGTCCGTCACTGTGGTATGAAGTGTGGATACATACAGACTTAAGTTTTGAAATGATGTTAAACCAGGCAGTGTGTGACAAAAGAAAAACAAGTTGTGAAATAAATAATTTAATATTTTAAAATGTGCAATGTTCTTTTTAAAAAAGCATTCATTTAAAAATACAGAAGATTTCTGCTAAGGAGGCCTATAGCACCCAATATAAAGATGACATGAGATATCTGAAACCACTCTTTCCTTTGCCAGATGTCAACTATGAGTGCAGAAATCAACAATCTTAAGGCAAACAATGTGAATCCGCTGCAAGGTGAAGTTGTGCATGAATCACTGTAATGATCATTAGTGTAGATGTGTGCTGTGATCTTTGCCATGCTTATAGTTTGGAGCCTTTGGAAAGACAATGTGATTCATATCTTTATCTCAAACAGAGACATATCCACAAATGACTAACTAAATAAAATAACAAGCTACTTTTGTTGTCACTAATAGTGGGATAGTCTCTGATCTCAATTAATTTCCTTTTTTCTGTCCTTGGCCTTCTATCTACTGCATGTATAAGAATACAAAATTGAATTGTAACATTTTTAAATATTATCTTATAATATCTTTGAGTAATTATTTTCCCTTTTTCATGATTTAGCCACACTGAGGTGCAAGGTGCAGCCAATCCAGGACCGTCCCTCTACTGCAAAGAAACTATCAGACACATCTTCTGATGTCCAAGTACCAAACCTATCTCACGTCTCAGGTGACCAGCAGTCACCTTCCCTCTATCCAGATGGAATATTCCTGGCTGAGCTTGTAGATATCTGTAGCCCTGATGAAGATGAAGAGGAGGGCGAGGACAAATGAGGCGTTTTGTTAAGACTGCTGCACTGGGTGAAAGTTTCTTCAGGTGTATAATGGATCAGTCATTACAGCTGCACTAGTCAGATTTGTGCCTTATAGCTTGCACTGTATGTTGTCTTACTCAAATTAAATGTAAGGACTAATTCACTTGACTTAAATTTAAAGACATGATTCTGCTACTTCTGTGATACTTGGTGGAAACTTTTTGACTAAGAGGATTGTGATATTTTTGTATCTCCATCTCACAGAAAAGAATTAGGAACATACAGCAGCAGTAATTTATACATTTATACGTTAGACAATTGTGTTAATTAAAGCCACCAAGCTAGCTCTGGCAAAAGTGTGTTTTATTTATATGACATGGGTCTTCACATAATACATTCAGAACATCCTACAGACAACAAGCTATTTTAAATGTATCTCAAAGGAACTGTGAAATTACAGATGTACATGAGGGTATAAAAAGTACATTAGTGTGTATTACACGGTACTCACACATCAAATAAATGAATATGTATTTTATTGACTGCGGGCTGAATACTAGAATAATCCTTTTGCTCAGTTCACTTACTTTCATATTTCACTATTGTTCATTGGGAGAGAGACTGAATTGTATAAGAGATCACGTATAAATTCTCCAGAATCAACATAGAAGGTCTGGTCTAGGTAATGTTTCACAAATAACATTGTTTTGTTTTATGCAAATTCAGTAAGTTTGTGCACTTACATTACTATCCCATAGGAGAATTCACAGGTTGTTACATTAAAATAAGGCCATTGTAAATGTTGAGTTGCTGAATGCCCATATATCCATCTATTAGAAGTGCAGTAACACATCATTTGATTTACAAAGTGAAACATTTATGGCAAAAGTGACCTTAAATTCCTTATTTTGGATGCCAACTGACTTCATACAGTACATTGGGTCCCAAATTGTCTTTTTCAGCAAACACGTGTCAGAGCCTTATAGAGGCTCTGGTTGTACTGTGTGCCACCGTGCCTGCTCCATCTTCAGGTTACACATGTCCCTCCAGTGAGCACGTCCTGCATCTGCGGCCCCTACTCCAATTCGGACCCGACCAAGAACTTTACCTTCTGAAAGGACCTGATTCACACAAGACAACACAAGTCACATAAGAAAGGAGCAGGAATATATACTTCACAGACAATACAAATAAATGTAGTTATTCATGAAATGCGTCATATTGTATGATTGTGAGCTCCCAAAGCAAAGCTTCACCTGCATGATTATAAACTCTAGCATGAGGGGAAGCTGACTGATGTCTCCTGGAGGCAGGTCAAACAGGAAAGAAGTATTCCACACAGTGCAGGACCGTCCTCTAGTTTCTCTGCTGCTGATCACTTCCTCCTCATGATACAGATTGATCACCACCTGGTATTCTGTGCACAGGTACACAAACGTTATCTAGTATGAAAAAGATCTATTTAACGTGAAAACTGAGATTAAATTGGTAACTGAAGAAGAAGAAGAAAGAAAATATCAATATTTCTAAACAAAATTAGAAATAGTAAATGGCAGGACAATGCTATACTATGGCTAACTTGTCTTTCTCTTTATGGAGAAAAAAAATAGTATATACTGTTTTTATAGGTATAAAACAAGTCAACAAATTGTATGATGGAACTCTTCTTTATTGCGCTTCTAAAGCTCCCCACCAACATCAGACAGACAAAAACTAGATTTTCTAGTCACTCAGTCAAAATTTATACATTTTACATATATTAGATTAGATAGTTATTGTGAATATTGCTGTATTGGAACCTTTGTGATTAGTTTTACTATTACTATTTACTATATTACTCTTAGATTATTTTATTTTATTTTTGTTACTATGCATTTGTGACAATTCTTGTTTTTGTTTCCATTGTGGGCTACTTTTGTCTTTTGCTTCATATGTGAAGCAATTTAACTTATTTTCTAATCTTTATGTTCAGCTTGTTTTGCCTTTTCTTGTTTTATTTATACTGTGTGATTTTACATTGTTGTTTGTTTTACTGTTACTGTTTTTGTATGGACCCCCAGAAAGTCTAGTGATCACTTCGTGGACGCCAATGGGCACCCAAATAAATAAAAAAGAATACTGCAGACAAGCATCCATTTTATAATTCACTGGTCTCTCTACTAGAGAGATTTTCTGTTATTTACATAACACACTTGCCAAAAGGTGGAAATCACATCACACAAGAACATTCATGCCCACTGTCCAGTTACAAAAAATGGATAAAATTTTTTAAATAAAATCAAACCAAGAATTTTTACCATTCTCACACCAGTAAATATGGAGCTAAAATAAATATTGTTATATGTAATACACATATACCGTCTTCATCCATAGTAATGCAGTTGTGTCTACTCTGTTGTCTAAATATTCACCAACAAATACTTTCAGTAGTCTGATATAAAACATAAAGGGATTATCCTCGTCAAATGTGCGTGACGTTCATGTAAATGAAACAGATATTTTAACATCAAATGGCTCTGTGTACAGGAGGTGCTTGTCTGCAATAAAAATAATACTTAGACAGGCTAATGCAAACAAAGATTAGATTTGTCGGATCAGAGATCCAGAGGAGATTGGAACATTTTCCTGAGGATTGTGAATAGTGAAGGATTAAACCACAATGTCATTAAAAAAAGGGATGATCTCCTGCTGCATTTGGGTCCTGTAAGACATCATATAATCCCCTAAACATTAAAAGCAAACATAGGGAATTACTTTACCTCTGCCCCTCAAAGGCAAAAGTTAGTTCTTCCCTCGCACACTTACATAATGCCTTTATGATGATGTCCTTACGGGATCTCTAAATCGAACACACATTTTGTTATTTCAAGTGATATTACACGCTGGTTCTACCTGTTGCTGCCAATGTGTGAACGAGGTTGTCTAGGTTTTCTGCTCGTAGGACCATGACTTTGATGCGGTGTGCCAGAGTCTGATACTGAAGCCAAATGAAGATCTGGGGAGGACAGCTAAGCCCCTTACACATCGGTGTATCCTGTAAGATCAGGCTCTGCAGTCAAAGGGCAAAAGTTCAAAGAGCAGAGAAGAATACCTCAATCAGAAGGTATGAGGCTGCATGAGGCTTTGCTTTGTAGAATACAAAAAACACAACACAAAATATCCAATATAAAACAAAATACTGACTTTTGTTCCAGCTCTTCCCCCATTTTCTTGTTTCAGCAGGTCATTTCAACCTGTTCATTCTTAACCTTGGAAACTGCAGTCTGTGATTTAAGCTTGAGCTAAAGTCCTATAAGTGTTCAAAAGGGGAACAGCAACAGCCCCAGGGGCCTCCTAACAGGTTAATCTGGCCAGACCTCTATGTACAGTATCTTAAAACTAAAGTCAACACCTGCTCACAGATATTAATTCACTACACTGCTACCTTTTTTAGCTTCCACTTGCTTGGGTTAAGTTCTTTCGTGAAGTGAAATGGATGCTCTGCTCTCCAGTCTCTTCCTCCACATTCAGCATCCAGTTCACCCAGTGTGGTGCCTCTCAGGCTGGGAGGTTCCCGTGTGTATACGATTATTCTCAGTACACACCTTTGGAGCTCCTTCACGGAGCTCACCTTCAAAAGCAGCACCAGGCTGTGGGTCTCAGGGCTGAGGCTGCTCTGGGCAGAGGCTTCTATAGGGCAGGGGTAAAGAGGTGGCAGGCTGCCTAGCACAAACACGTCCTCCAGTCTGTGGGGCGTCCCAGTGAGGCTGAGGACAGTGACTGCCAAGGTTTGCTGTTCTGGAGAGAAGACCATAGTAAAATGGATGCATGGGTTTTGTGATATTGGCTGTTGGCAGCTGGCACTGGAGCCATAGCTCAGTGGAGCCAGTGGGATTGGTTCTTCAAGCATAGAAGGGGAGAAAGCACTGGTAAGCCTGCTGTGTTCATTGTAAGATATATTACCCCCAGTCACCGTGCAGCGCCTCTGCAGAGCCTTACATGTTTTGGACAACAGTCCCAATTTGGGAAATGAAGGCAGGGAAGGAGGATCTATGGGTTTATAAAGGGGTGATGTAAGTGGGGTGCTGAAGCGACGCAAGGAAAAATAAGGCTTTGGCTGCTCCTTCTGCTCAGAGGCAGCTGTGCAGAATGGCAGAGAGGTAAATTCACTCTCCGAAGGGGCAGGGCTGGTGAAAGTGGAGGGGTACTCCAGTGTATCTGCATCCAGCCCCTCATATTGCTGCCTGGATGCTGTCGTTGCTGAGGGAGGCGGGCTCTGGGCAGAAGTCACACTTTCAGCTGGAGCTGATGTCACAGGATCTTTGTCTTTCACTGGACACATCTGACTGTTCCTCCAGCACAAAATACATCCCAGGACCAAAGACAGACAAAAGATTATCAGCCCAACCAAAAGAAGAATTTGGAGGTGAACTGTAAACATATGAGAGAAAAATAAGATCAAACAGATAGTTTGATTACATGACAATTGACAATTTACCCTAGTGCAACCACTGGATTACATAACACTCTAAAGCTGATGATACACGGGGCAACTTTTTGAGCAATGTTGCTGGGCAATGTTGCTGGTGGCAAGTTCGACAATGTTTTGAACGGATAGCGGTGGTGCGGGGAGGGTGGCAGAGTGATGGGGGAAGAGGATTACGGTAGTGATCTTTACTCATTACCATTGACGGCAACATTGCCCAGCACCATTGCTCTAAAAGTTGCTCCGTGTATCGTTAGCTTAAGGGTGCTATTTTACCCCATTTACCAGAAAGCATAGATCCCATGCTTCATATTAAAGTAGTGTTAAAAGATTGGTTCACTTATTCTTTAGTCTACCTTAAAATAATAATACACATTCCTATATGTACTTTGAAAAAAATGTTGGTCGAGGTAATAATTCCTGTCTCCTACTAATGTGATTCCAATGAAAGAAATGAATGAAAATCCAGATCTTTGATCTCTGTAGAAATGCATTTCAGCAGTCAGAATTAGTCATGACAAGAGATTACATCTTTTTATTGCATATTTCACCTTCTTTATTCCCCCCGGACAGTTTCTTTCTTAGAAGGAGGGAAAGTAACACAAAGAGGTAATATTTTCCTAAAACACAGTAACCACAGTGATATTGGAAGACACCCACATGGTTTTACTGATGATATTATCTTCGGTTTCATGCATTTTTGCAGAGAACAAGGACTGTGGATTTTGACCCCCGTCAATTACATTGGAATCATGTTAGGAAGAGCTCTCTTCACAGCCGGTATGGACAGGTGGAGTGATTACTCAATGATCGCAAGAAGTAAACATCGGCAAGTGAGTAGGTAGTTGTTTCAGATTTGAAAAAATTGTGAACCTACTGTATCCTTTAAGACCCTACCTTCAAGTTGTTTGGTGAAAAGAACCTGCACCAGAAGCCAGAAGAAGAGGATGACCATAATGCCCTCAATCATTCCCTTACAGCAGAAGAGCAGCACAGACTGCCACAGAGGCTGACCTGGGTACTCCTCGTCATGGTAAGGCATGGTGCCAATAGTGTGCTGAAGGTTTGTCGAAGCCGATATCAAAATATTCAGTAGAAGCCCAGAGGTCCCCGGAAAGAAGATCATTTGCTTTACTCATGAAAACACATTCTGGCCTTTTAGTCCTGGGGATATCTCCCCACGCAATTCTGGATCATTCAAAGCCATTGCTTTGGAGTGCCAAAGGCACAAAACATCTGTATCCAATTAAAACATCTTGGTTATTTAGGATCCCAAGTTTCAGGTTTGAGTAACAAATCCTGCACATTACATGATATCGCCAGATTTCATGAAAAGGACTTCTGATACATGGGAAGGACCTCCTTCAGGAAATTAAATTCAAGCCGTCTTTGGCAGCTGCAGGAATCATTCCCTGTTCAAAGATGAAAAATCATCGTGCTGTCCTAACTTGCTACATACAGTATATTCCAGTCGTCATCCCAGGACAGTGATCTCCTCATCAGCAGAGTGCCTTGACTGGTATTATTCCTCCCTGGCGGGCGGGGACCGTGGGTGGAGATATTCATCTCATAATACCTTTCAATTATTCCTGTAGCATCTTTCTTCTACACTGTCCCAGATGCCAAACCAGCAGTATCACTATAGAATAACTCTCCCAACAGTAAATCCTGCAACCCATCCCCCACCCTTATCCTCTGACCCATGAGCGCTTATCTCCATTAGTATAGCTTGTCATAGGTCTGCTGCAGAGTTCAGGATTTAATTCTCAATACAGGGACTTTCTATACTTCCTCTTCCATACACACAGTGTGCAGAGTTTTATTTGATAAACGTAATCTGATTTAAAATACATAGTGAAACCAATGTAGGAATTCAGTTTGTCACCAATGCAGCACAAAGAAAAAAAAAAAACTCAATTGACAATAAAACCCAGGACAGGAACTGTTCAAAAAACTAACTTCTTAATTGTTCACTGGTTCGGGATCCTGGTTAAAGATATTAAGAACAGAGATACCAAAGTACTGATAAATGTGCATGTTTATGGAGGAATAATATCCCTGAACTTCAAATGGTGTGTGTGTCTTGTGTAGAGAAGGAAATACTACCCCCATCTGGCCCCTTACTTACATAACATTTTCTTTTTGGTATGTACTTTCCAGTGGTGGAGGAAATATTCAGAGGCTAGAAAGTGTAATTTTTCCCTCTGAATTGGGAAACAGTCAAATTGAACATACTCAAGTAGAAGTACAACTACTTGGGTAAATGTACTTACATTCTACTAGTGGTAGTTTTAAAAAATTTCTTGTGCGTAGAGATTATTTTGTCACTCTTCGTATAGAATGCTTACTCATTTTGTTCAAGCAACAACAACTATAAAGGACTACACAAAATTAACACCATCATCCAAATGAAATATTTAAATAGCTAACATTTTGAAGAACATTATGGTCTTTTGATTTATCATTTTATTTATTTAAGACAAGAGCACTAAAAGGTTCAGAAACATACCAGTCTTTCTACAGCACACAAGATAATGTTATTCCTTATGGCCACATATCCAAGAAATACGTTAATCAGAGACCAAAGCAAGGTTTTGGTTTTTTACAGTTGTCAAGTTCACAGTGACATTTGTTTGCAATTACATGTCTACTTGATTGTCCACATACAGTATATTTCAGCAGATGCCTAAATCAACACATGCTGCATTAAGTATTGCATATTTCTCTAGAAGAGTGAGGTAGCACTGTTTCAGTGTTCACTTGTCAAAAGCTTGAGGTCATTAATGATACATTCTCTGCATTTATACAAATACAACACAGCAATTCATTATGAGTATATGAGTGATGAGTCCAGAGGACATTCCTGAGTCCCGAGATGGGAAGTCAATTGAGGTAAATCAGTTATCACTTACGTCTAGCTCCCAGCACAAACTTTGTCTCTCACATTTGCCTTTGATTCACGACAAACATGAATTAAAACAGTTTTGTAATTTTGATGCCGAACCAAATGCTTAAATAAAAATAAAGTAAAATAAAAAACACAATACAAAATGTAAAAAACACAACAAACCTGAGACACATTTCTTTTAAATTCCGTTCGATTCTTTAGGACACGTTTCTGGGGAAACCGAATCCCTAAAAGCTGCTGTGAAAAGTATAAACGTGGCGTTTTCACTCAAGTGGGAGAGGGATAAAATAAAAAAGTCAGTAAGGTAATTATAGACAGAGGTTATGATACTGAGCTAAGGCTTTTTGGTCTTCATTAGCTGCATTTTGGCAACTACACTGTTCTACTGGTGACAAGGGAAAAGAGGTTTAGCATTGGTTCTCATGGTGCACTGTTCTGCTCTAAAGACACTTCTGAACCAACCATGTAAAGCTCTTTACATTTTAAAAAGTGTCCAACAGGCACTAAGGTAAACTGTGATCTGAATCTATGTTGTAGTCAGTTTGGAAGCTTATGATGTAAAAAAAATTAACACATTACACTGTCAAAGTAAAGGAAAACAAATGAATTGCTTCATATGTTGCAATTGATTTTTACCTAGAATTCATATAGTTCTTGTCTGACAAGAGAGGTATATTGTGTACTGTGTTGCTCAGAACAGATTTAACTGCCAGCCTTAATTTGGTCCCTTTGAGGAGGTGGAAGATGAAGAGGAGGGACTGTGTGAGGAGGAGAGGGCACTGAAACCACTTGTTCCTGCCAGAGTTACGTTCTGTGACACCACAGGAGCAGCTGACTTCTGGGCAAACAGCGTTCCTGCAATGCAGAGATCAGAGAGAAGATTCAAATTAGAAACAATAGACATTAAAAGGCTAAATGTATTTTATCATTTACTGCTGCAGTGTATAAAAGACAGTAAATACAGTAGTATTAAAGCTTAGTCACTGTAACTTACGTAGATGAGAAGATCATTACCACTCTCATTTCTGTACACTACATATAAAGCTACAGCCAGAAGGCTAGCTTAGCTTAGAAAATGGAAGCCAAGGGAAAAAGCTAGCCTGGCTTTGTCCAAAAGTAACAAATCCGCCTAATAGCACCATTAAAGATCACACATTAACATGTTATTTCTTGTATGTTTAAGCCGTATAAAACCAAAGTTGAAAAACGACAAGTTGTGGAAGGAAGTGACTGCTCCTAATAAAGAAATAGTGGCACATAATGCCCCGTAAAACCACAAATTGTTGTTTTTACTCTTACTGTGTTTTAGAGGTGCTGGAAGGCTGATTTATTTACCTTCTAACAGAGCCAGACTAGCTATTTCTGGTCTTGATGCTAAAGTAAGAGAATACCTGCTGGCTCTAGCTGCATACTTAAATATCAAAATCATTTTTAATTTTCTCATCTAGCTCTTGGAAAAAAGCAAATATGCATATTTCCTAAAATGTTGAACTATCCTTAGCATAACAGATTCTAACTGTGCTTATTACATAAAGTGAGATGTGTATATATAAGAGCGTGCACAATACACAATCAAATCAAATATAATAATAGAAAGGACAGAAAAGATATTCTAAAAGATGTTATTTAAAAACAATTTTAACACATTTAAATATACATTTAATAAAAAATACATGCATAGAAACACAGAAAAGGTCCAAACTATGTTTTCCTTTAAAAGTGATTTACTCACCTGAGTAAATGGTGCCATTGACCTCCACAGATACACTGATACTGGCTGCTCCATTAGTAGAGATACCCCGAGACAACTCCTGTTTGCTTTCTGTGTGAGAAAATTTAAATATTTCAGTTAATGGACTTTCCTAAAATCCTGTCAAGTAATGAAAAGGCTGGTATAATAACAGCAAAGGCAACTCACCATGTCCATTATTAAGTTTGTGATTCATGGGGTTGAAGTGAGAGGCAATGGCCAAGAGGTTTTGTTGGAGGGCCTGCTGCATGAGGCGTTGCTGCTCCTCCGCCAGCTGCATCATTTTCTTGTCTGGACTGTCAGTTGCAGCTCCTCCTGCTGCTGCTGCTCGCTCCAGCCTCTCTCTCAGATGTTCGAATGTGGCAGCTTGTGCCAGGTGCTGTTGCTGCTGCTGCCCCAGTGCCAGAGCCATGGGCAGCCGGCTGGGTATTCCAGGAGTGGACAGCTCATCTGATTGGAGAAAAAATAAAAGTAAAAAAGTAAAAATCTAAAATAATTTTTAAACATGGAATCAGAAGAACAGCAGACAGAAAAATGACAGCTCTTCATAAGATGCCTGAGATATTGAAAAATCTATGCAATTATAAATGTGTGTGTGAAGATTTAAATCACTAGAGGTCACAAGTATCTTACAGTCACAGTACATTCAGCCAGGGTAACAATTTACTTATGACTTAATATGATGAGGTGAGCGGTTAAAAAGTAAAATTGTTAAATTGTAATCTAAGAATCAATTATCTTCCAATAGATTAGTATAAAACAATGTGGAATCCAAGATGGATCATATTGGTCAGATATCAAATCAGTTTTATTATCTCGCTGACTCTTATGTTGAACACATAAGGGTGCGTGTGTGTGTGTGTGTGTGTTTCTGTCCGTCCGCAGATAATCTCACATAACACAAGACCCATCAGCCTAATATTTGTAGTGCACATTCATGACAGTATGCTCAAGGACCTCTTGTGGTTGAGGTGATTCACGATTTTGGAAAAAATTATTTTGTTGCTGTTTTATGTCGCCATTGACTGCTGACGCCTCACTCCTCTGAACCAGCCCGTGAGTATGTATGTTTGTTACAAACGTAAGCAGTGATAACAGTTGTGATAACACGTGAAATGACTTAAGACACTGTAGTGTTATTGATAGGTCAGGCCTGGTGGAGATCTGCACTCTACAAGTTACAAATTCAATACAGCACACAGTCTGGCATACCGAGGTTTCTCTTTAGATTTGGGCTAGCAGATGTATTCAGGCCATTGTGTCCAGTTGGGGTGGTTTGCATCATGGGCGAAGAGAGGACGGCGTGTGGAGCAGAGCTCGGGGAGGGAGAGTAGCGGTACAGGCTGTTGGTGTAGCTGGGACGTCGACCTTCTCTGCGATTACTGTCGATGGCAGTCTGCAGCTCACCTGGAGAACTCAAGCCCTTCTTCTCGCACTCAAACGGGTACAGATACTTCATATACCTGCAACGAAATGTTTAGCATGAGTCACGTGATCTGGTGCAAATAAGCCCTTTTTTGAAATAAAGATCATCTGGGTGTAACCGTATACTGTCGATGGGTGTAACCCAAGCGGCAACCTATGGGGCTGAAAACGAAGCAAACGCGGAAGTGCCAAAAACTGCATGGTCACTTCAGGCTATTACACAGCTGGCTTTAATAAGTATAAAACATTATAGCAAACCCAAAAGATAATGTAATAACTACATAGAACATTTTCTCTTAATGTAATTGATGTCTCTCCAATAAGGTTGAAAATAGAATTACATTAATGTGATAACATGCTGAATACTGTAATGCATTTATTACTCCAAAAAGGGCGCAGCACATGGTGTAAATATAGTGAAGATACAGTATGTCATTATTTTTCCTAATTATTGTTACTACTATACAGTGGATAGAAAAAGTCTACACACCCCTGTTAAAATGCCAGGTTCTTATGATGTAAAAATAACGAGACAAAGATAAATCATGTCAGAACTTTTTCCACCTTTAATGTGACCTATAATGTGAACAATTCAATAGAAAAACAAATTGAAATCTTCGAGGGGGAAAAATGAAAAATAAAAACCTTACAATAACCTGGTTGCATAAGTGTGCACACCCTCTTATAACTGGGGATGTGGCTGTGTTCACAATTAACCAATCACATTCAAACTCAGGTTAACTAGAAGTCATTACACACCTGCCATCATTTAAAGCGACTCTGATTAATCACAAATAAAGCTCAGCTGTTCTAGTAGGATTTTCCTGATATTGTCCCTCCAAAATTGATGAAAAAACGAAAAGAAAACTGGTCAGGGAGGCTTCCAAGAGGCCTACAGCAACATTAAATGACCTGCAGGAATTTCTAGCAAGTACTGGCTGTGCGGTACATGTGACAACTATCTCCCGTATTCTTCATATGAATGGGCTATGGGGTAGGGTGGCAAGACGGAAGCCTTTTCTAACAAAGAAAAACATCCAAGCACGGCTGAAGTTTGCAAAAACACACATCAAGTCCCCCAAAAGCATGTGTGAAAATGTGTTATGGTCTGATGACACAAGGTAGAACTTTTTGGCCATAATTCCAAAAGGTATGTTTGGCGCAAAAACAACACTGCACATCACCCAAGGAACACCATACCCACAGTGAAGCATGGTGGTGGCAGCTTCATGCTTTGGGGCTGTTTTTTCTTCAGCTGGAACCAGGGCCTTAGTCAGGGTGGAGGGAATTATGAACAGTTCCAAATACCAGGCAATTTTGGCACAAAACCTTCAGTGTCAGTTAGAAAGCTGAAGAGGAAGTTCACCTTTCAGCACGACAACAACCCAAAGCACACATCCAAATCCACAAAAGCATGGCTTCACCAGAAGAAGATTAATGTTTTGGAATGGCCCAGCCAGAACCCAGTCATGAATCCAATTGAACATCTGTGGGGTGATATGAAGAGGGCTGTGCACAGGCGATGTTCTCGCAATCTGACAGATTTGGAGCGCTTTTGCAAAGAAGAGTGGGCAAATATTGCCACGTCAAGATGTGCCATGCTAATAGACTCCTGTAATAAAATCAAAAGGTGCTTCAACAAAGTATTAGTCTAAGGGTGTGCACACTTATGCAACCAGGTTATTGTAAGGTTTTCATTTTTCCCCCTCGAAGATTTCAATTTGTTTTTCTATTGAATTGTTCACATTGTAGGTCACATTAAAAGCTGGAAAACGTTCTGACATGATTTATCTTTGTCTCGTTATTTTACATCATAAGAACCTGGCATTTTAACAGGGGTGTGTAGACTTTTTCTATCCACTGTACATCAGCTGAAATGTTAACCCCAATGTTTAAGGGGCTATATGTAATTTTTCAATGAAACCACATATTAATAAATCAAAATTTTACTTCCTTTTTGTCAATGGGCTCTAACCTCACATAGAAATGAAGCACACGCCTGTTTTCTCTTTTGCTTGCATCAGACACTATTCTGCTACTAATGTGAGGACACCAGGTCGGGATGTAGCCCTGTGCGTGCTTTCGAGCCATACAGTCCACTAACACCACAAATCAGCCAGCCCACAGCACAACATAGACTCCAACATAACTCCACGTAAGCATACAAAACAACACTAAAGTTCTGAGACTGAAGCCCATCAGACTAAACAAGATTCAGATGATGTTGAGTAAAAATACAGTGAACATCAGAATGGCTAGTCACCGAGACAATAAATTTAGCTCACCAGCTAACGTTATCCGGTGCAAAGTGGTATCGCTTTCCATATTACTTCACCAGCTAACGCAACCAATATAACTATCCTGTGTTCCACCGGTATTATGTCAAAGTGTTGATTTAGCCTGCAAGAAAGGATGCAACGGTACAAAGCAAATGTGGAGCGATTTGTTCACTAGCCTATAGTGATACAAGGCAGGGCAGCCAGCTAATGCTACATTAGCTCGGACCTGCTGCTGTTTGCTTCGTAACATTCAATTTAGATTTATTGTGGTTTTACCGATACTCAGGTACACAGCTTCTCCCCCTCTCAGTTGCTGTAACTAACAAGACCCACATAATATACAATACTGCAACAAAACGGCGACAACAACACAGAGCCTCTGGTGAAAGATACACAGAGAGACATTTACAGATAGTAACTTAGTAAGTTATTTACTGAAAAGCAGACAGGCAAGCTAACGACGATGTAGCACGTCAGCTAAATGCAGTAAATGTAATGTTATCATGACGAGCATGAATTAGTTCAACCTCAAGCTGCTAAAACTATTACTGTAAAGTTGCAGTGGGAGTTTACCCGAGTTTCTGGCATGTTGTGTGAAGCCGTCTCCCTGTATGTCTATAGCCGCTTTCATACTGCCTTTTTTCCACGGGAGGATTGTGCCAATATGTGGCTCGCTACACTGAATGAGCGAGGAACGTTGAAGCAACAGAGCCTGAACATGTCTGAAAGCGGTTGTGTTTCGGATTATGCTCGCTCATGAGTTCAAGCTAGCATGCGTACAAGCACACGACTGATTGCAATCCTCAAACCGCACCTCTAGTGGCCGCTGAAAACTACATAATGCCCCTTTAAGTAATAATTGCACTAATTTTAGAAAATTATATTTGAACCCATTTACAGACTTTTGTTTCACATTTGGACAAGCTATTTAATCACCAGAAAGTCTTCACACTGGAGCATGTTTTATTCCCCCGATTGTTCCTGAATAGAAAATCTGTCAACACAACAACCTTCTGAGCTTTTCTGCTACAAATGAGACGAGACACCTACTGGGTGCGGAGGGTGAAGGCTGCGCTGGTGATGGATGTGGGGAGGTTGAGACCTTTGGTGATCTCCCTCCAGATTTTCTTGTTAATAACCTCCACCAGGCCTCCCTTCTCTGTCACAAGCTTATAAAGCCTGTACAGGTCCAGCACCTGCTTCGCCATGATGGGAATGCGGTTCACAGGAGTTCCTGAATGAATCAGGATAAACACAACAAAATGTTTTAATTTTCTTTGAATTTTATTCCTCAAAAGTTTAAACAAGAGTGGTCTTGTAAAAGCATTGTTAAGGACAGGCACAAGGAAGAAGATGATTTGCCCAGTTAATGTTAGGTCATATTGCTTAGCAGGTCTAATCTGTGTGGTGAGACTTTTCTAACGAAGCTTATTTCAGATGGACGGGGGTGGGGATAGTTCCACAACAGCAGCTCTGTTGCTGCATTGATTTGAGCGCAGGGGGAGGGGTGCTTTTAGAGCCAGCAGTGCCTGCCAATCACAGGGGATGACAGCTAACCCTTCCAATCCTGATTTGGAGTAAAACCAATTAATGAAGTAGGCTAAAAAGAGGTTGTAGGTTGATTATTTGTGTTTAACATAAACACATGCCACAGACACACACATTTGCTATGGCCATGACCTTTGCACACATGAGTAAAGACTGCCGACCGTGTCCTGCTGCATCCACTTTTCTTTGACTGGGATTTGTTTTCAGAGCACCAAATTAATCTTTAACACACAGTGCTCAACACAGCTAGACAACTATAGGATTGAAAGTATAAACAAAAGTACATTGTTAATGCCTCAAGGCATTTCCATTGCAGATTGTAGTTTATGTTGAAAAGTGTAAAGTAGATTTTAGCCACTTTAAATTCAATGCAAAACTGAGAAATGATCATGAGCTTAATAAGTAGCATCCTAACACCTAAATAAATATATTTGGGAATGTTAACTTTATATGACTAGTAAAAGCTGTAGGGTTCATTTTTTGACCTGTGGAGCTTCAAGTTTGTTACCCATTATGCTATAATGGACCAATAGAACTGTTTATATCGCTTTTTATAAACTGTTAGTACAATCTATGTCCCCTGTGTTAAACTACCATCCAGTAGATAAAGGAAAACCCCATCCAAATTTGAGAAACTACTTTTTTAAAAATTGCAACCCTCCAAAGTTTGCATTTAAGGATTTACATTTATTTTCCTAATGTCTATTAACATTTTGGAAACAATCAGTTGTACTTCATCATTTGAACTCCTGAATGTATTAAAATGTCAAGTCCTTTACTGGTTTTATTGCGAAGCTATGAAAACAAGGATAATTCATGGAGATAACACAGTAAACTTTTTTCTAATTCTACACAAAACAAACACAAATCGGGTAGATCATTTTTAAAGGCAAACACTTTTCAGCTCCTCTGAAGTTCAGTCAGTCCTCAACTTTAACCTGTAGTTTAACACTCAAGTGTTTCGTTGCACCCACTTGCAAATTGCCATTCCATAATCAACACATAAACAACATCCCTCAAGAGCACCATTACTTTCTTTATTTGGTGTTGAAAGACTTGGGTTGATAAATTCAGAAAGGAACATTAATAAGAGCTCACTTAGCTACTCAAAAAAAAACTATACAGACATTTGTAAAGCTCTAACTCTGACTCTTACCTCGTTTCTGCATAAAGACAAAGAGGTCGTCAAGAAACTCCTTCCGTTGTGGGTCATTATCCAGTTCATAAAGCTATAAGTTAGGAAACAAACATTCCAACATGCCAGTCAACTGTTGCTCTGTGATTATTTCAGGTATGTTCTTGTTTACATACATCGACTACTGACCTTGGCAAAGTCCCTGGACGGTTCTCCTTTTACTTTTCCTCCGTCATTCTCCTCAGCCCAGATGGCGCTTCCTCTCTGTAAATACACCAACAAAGAGATCTATCAGTGTGACCTCCAGATTGTGACTGCTTATATGCGGAATGTAATGAGGAGAGCATGCGCAAAAACACAGGAGAGTTTAGAAGTTAATTTCCAATTGCTTATTTCAGACTAAAACTGGTTGTACATATGTAACTATACTATGGATGATAGTACTTCATCTACTGATCAAACATGCAGTACAGCCAAAGCATTATTAAAAAGATCATTAAACACAAACACACACTGGGTGGTTGTATCCTCATATACCAGTCCTATTTAAAGCTTCTCTTTATTTGTCATGTTTTCCCCAAGGATTCTTCCCACTCCCTGTGTCCAAACCTGTTTTTTTTCCCAGCACTGAAACCACTGTCGACTGCAGGACAGTCAAGACAGTATACAGCTGGTCTCTGTAAGCCTCTGGTTGCTGAACTGCCGCGTTATGTATACATAAATGCATGTTGCTCCACTGGAGTGTCTGCTTAAAGCAGGTCACAGACAGGAGATTAATGAAAAGTGCTATGCTCATTAGGTAGTTTGATATGACATGTTATTCCTCCACCATTCCTTATGAATAGTGTGTCTGTACAATAACATTGAGTAGATGATTTTACCCTCCAATCGTTATTCTGACACTCACATTACATTTCATTTATTTTATGACTATTGTTGATTTAGTTTTCTACTCTGATATCCATTATTGGTTTTCTTTCTGTAGGCCGGAATGAGGAGCATGCCTCTCAGTGCATGCATGCTCTTGTTTTATGTTAATCTGTTTTAAATTAACACAAGCATGTGCATTTTATACAACAAAAAATGTTTCTGTATTTAACTGTATTATTTTTCCTTGTATTCCCTCATAATGATTTTACTTCCCATTTACACTTCATCATTTAGTATGATTTTGTAAAAACATGTTAATTAAAACCAGTAACTGCATAAAAGTGGATATTGTTATTGTAATCTTCATTCAATTTAATTCTGAATGTCTATGTTGGTTTGGTCAAGTTTGCGTGTGTTCTACTAACTCTTGTAGTGGCAAAAGCTGGATTTGAGCCATTTATCCATTACTTTTAGATAATACTACTATCTATTTCAACCGCCACCATATTTTAAGAATTATTTTTAAATTAATTTAGCTACTCTGAGATCTTTCAACGCATCCTGTTAACCCCTGGTTCGAAATCACTGTTGCAAAAAACAACTTTTACTCAGAAAAATTATTTTCTATTCCTCTGTTTTCAGTTGTTAAACTGGTCAACCAGTATCCACTACAGCCCCTGTGGTGGCAGAGCCGTCAACACAACTAATGGGCTCAGCTTAGAATTTCTAATAAAAAGGACTTGTACTCCCCCGCCAGAAAGCTTATTGATGTGAAGGTAGATAAACATCCCAGTCTTTTCACCATCAAATGGAAATAAAACCCTTCCCCCCTTATTGATGAGCAAGTGAGACCTGCTGTGGATCTATTAACAAAGGGCTCTCAGTTAATTGCTCAGAGTTTTCACACATCCAGCCCTGGGAATCCTGATAGCATTCAGCACGTAGGTTTTTTTGGTATTGTTAAAACAGGCCAGTTTTTAATAGGCTTTGAGATTATTTTATATATTCAAATTACAAATCATCATATTAATGCATATTACTATACACAAAGTAATTCTCTAAGAGACTGTCTGTTCAACCAGTCAAGATATAAAAACATAATTCCACTACATTTGAATTGAAATGTCCACTTCACTTACTCAAACCTAACTGGAAACTACCTCTTATAATAAGCTTCATTAAAATCCACCAGCTGTGCCAGCAGAGCAACAGTGACATCTTATCCCTCTCGAAACCAATGAAACCGCGGGGGGGGATCAAATTTCTAATCCAAATTAAATTATCGGGCCTTTAGTCACCCGACCAAGTCAAGATAATTTATCTGGCCACTCGCTGTGTGGTAAGCTGGGACAGAACGATCAGGGGCTTTTCATCTCCACCCATGCTGAATTAAAGGACATACAGCTAGACCGCACACGAGGAGTGAACAATGGCTGTACAGCATGTCCAGATCTTCAAGGATGTTTAATTAATTAAATAAATTAAAGAAAAAGCTAAAGATATAGTAGGGGCACAAAGAGAGGTTAACAAAAGTAAATCATTATATACAGCCACCAATTAACTCATAAAAGAGCCCATTTCAAACTGTATGTAACAAAGGGAACTTATTTAAATGCAAGTCACAAAAAAAGCTTCATTGCAAACTATTGAGTCCTGTTTTGAAATAAATTCAAACAATTATAAAACAAACAGCGACATGTTTACATTTTAGCATTTTCAACTTTGTGTCTGGTTATGGACTGCAACCCATTTTACTATAACCTACTATGCTCAGTATCCCATACAAACCTGTTAGCAATGACAAAAAATTTTTAGCTTAATGTATAGCCTATGTAAAAATGAAATATTGTTAATATAGTTAATCTGACCACATACAAAGATGTTCACAAATCTTGACACAAATAGGTCACAGCAGCATCTCGCATACATTTCTTCTAACGATAAATTAAAAAGGTTCTGAGCTGTTTTTTGTGCTTTAAGCAATAGAAAAACTGAATCCAATCCATTTCACACACACATGCAATTTATTTTAACAGCCTCTCACAACTCATTACTGTGTTTTAACAGTAGAAATGTTCTACATTGCCCCAGCTGTTGTGTTGGGCCTGAGAAAAGGAAATGCATTCTCATTGCAGCAGCCATATAATGTATTGATTACTTGCAGCTGAATTAAGCTGCCATTTAGTGTTGCCAAGCGACAGTTAAATTATGCAAAGCTATCCACTGAGCTACAGCTACGTCAGCAATGAGTTTTATGGGCCTGGTAGGGTTTTGAAGAGGCCAATGAACACAACTTTTTGAACGATCATGGATCTTAAACCATAGTTTCACTCCACATGTAACTTTTACCAAACCCCAGTGACAGGTGGAAATAGGGGGGAAATAAAAGCACAAGAAAATATGAAATCTGTCTAAATAATGAGCAAGAGGTGTGTCTGATCCACTCAAACTACTGTAAGTAACTTTATAGGCAGTTACTTGCTGGTATGTTTAAGGCTGGTAACCCCAGCTGTCCCTCCTCCCTCAGGCCTCATTAATCATAATGTATTGTATTGAACTGGTGCCTTTTCAAGGGAAAATACACACAGAAGAACCAATCAGATTGGTCTCCCTTAAGAAGGAAAAAAAAAAATAAATCTATAAAAGGACAGCCTCTGTTTCCTATAAGAAGTCAAACATAACTGTTGGAAAACATACTTGTAAATACTAGCTTTGGATCTCATATTCAATACCATTTTTTTCGTTTTATTTCATGTTCATATATATATATATACAAAGAGAAACGTCCACCTCCCTACCCAGCGATTTCTTAACTATTGAAGCCAACTGTGTGCAAACATACACACTTGACGCTATTCCGTTTAATCCTCTGCTGTCTTTTTAACTTCATCACTATGAGACCTGAACTGGCCGCTTTGAACAGTCAGGCTTGGATCCCAGCCAAGACCAATTACCTCGGCTGGTGGCCAGAACTCCTTTTCAAAAGTGTGATACATGTGGTGAAGTATAACAGTGGGGAGAGATCGCTGGCCTGGCCAGTAGTTAATTAATTAAACACTATCAATTTCGGGCATCTTGCCAAAGGGACACGCTCCTTCCTCCACAGAAACGGAGGCAGACTAGGCAGCAGTGAGTCTGACTCTCAGAAGTCAACAAATAATAAGAGTATGCACACACACACCAAAAAGGAGAGTTACAGATGTTCATCTCCTCTCTGTAAAGCTGAATTGAGGTCTGGCTACTTCAAAATAAAGTTATAAATCACTACAATGTTGGCTGCTGCAATAAGAATGCATTTCCTTTTCTCAGGCCTAGCACAACAGCCAGAGCTTATCCAAGAGTGGACAGAGATATGACAATGGGATTTTCTGTAAAATATGGGAGCAAATGTTAAAAAATTCAATAGGCTATAAAAGGATGGCAAGAAAAACAATATAGTCTTGATTTGGGCAGTCAAAGATAACTTACTTGTTTACATGGTTCATCATAGCCCCAGTCAGCAAAGCCATTGGGTGATGTGAAGGCTTGTTGGCCAGCAAGAGACAGCCGCTCCTTCTCCTCAGGCTCCTGTTTTATTGCTGAAGGTGGCGATTTGGACATTTGCGTCACAGCAGACGACTGAGATGTGGAATAAGCAGGGAAGGGGAAGCCTGCAATCTGCTGGTGTCGAGGCTTCTTCGCCTGCTGATGAGGCCCGTTCTCCTCCTCCTCGTCTTCCTCGTCCTCATCGTTCTCTTCAGGCTCCACCATTTCCTCTTCCTCTTCATCAGAGTCTTCATCTTCCTCATCTGGGTCTGTTTTGCTGAGATGGCTGTTAAAAGCTTGTTGAGCTGCTTGGTAAGTCTGTCCATCTGCTTTGCCAAATAACGCAGAGTCTATTCTGGAGCCAGAGGCCCTCGCCACAGCAGCGTGTTGAGCAAACAGGAGCTGGGCTCGAAGAAGATGCTTTTCTTGCAGGTTCATCTCCAGTTTGGCCTCTTGTTGTCTCTGCAGCTGTTCCATTACCACCTCAAGCTTCACCCCACCAGGACTGAACTGTGGACACCCAGCTGAGCTGCCCTCCTCGGATAAGCTTGACTATGAACCAAAAAAAACATTTGACATATTGACACATATTTGACTTCACCTTCACAGTTTGATTAGGTGTTTCTGCTTGCATATGCTGCAGCAAGTTTCCAAAGTTATAAATAGGATAATGCAAACTGCATGTACAAAAAGGCTTTGGTAATTACATTTTTACCAAATAGTTGTTTAAATACTATATACTATGTATATATTGTTTGATGAACATTATTCAGTTGTTTTTGTCTACTAAAATGATTAATTTAATGTGCATGAGAGGCTGTCCACGGCCTCAGAAAGCACATTATTGGTGGATTAAAGTGAAACAAAGCTAAGTGGCTTGAGAGAATTCTCAACAGAAGATTACATTAGCTCAGTTGACAATAAATTAGAAGCAGGATACAAATGTTTCCCCCAAAATTTTCAGTGTCCTTGCCTTGTTAAAAGGCGTCCGTAAGAACGTCCTTCCATAGCCTATTTCTTCAGTTTTCTAAATGGAAAATCAACTTTATTTTCAAAACTGCAGACACATGCGAGCATACGACCTCCTTTAACAATTACGGAAAACAACTTACCCTGATCAATAACTAAAACAAAAACTACATCGTAATGTTCCTGAAAATGTCTTCATGAATCGTCACTGCTTTGTTACTGTAACAAACACGAGTGGGAGCGTAACCAAACAGTCGTCGACACTCACCATTTGCGCCTTCGAGTAATCCATCATCGCCAACAGGTCTTATCTAGTTTTTCCTTCTTTCCGCCGGCAGAAATAAATCGCATCGCATGACCAGTTTTTCTAAACTGAAAACATTCTTCTGATCAAATGTGAAAAACCCTCCTGTAGGCTAGTGTGGAGGCCGGAGTAATAGGAGCTGGAGGAGGGGTAAGCGATAATGCTGTGCGCTTTTACCTCGCTGGTCACTGCGCATGGAAACTCAAACATCTTGATTGTCTTTGAATGGCTTCCCCCCCTCAAACTAAGGGTTAATCAAAGGCCCGCCCCGTGCATAAATCTCGTAAAGTGGTCGTTTTCTTGACTGTGTCTCCGTGGAACTTTTTACATTGCAAATGAGTCTGACCTCTACACCCATAGAATACTTCTATTTAACTCCACTGCTAAAATTGGTTATAGGCTATTTCACAGCAGAAACATGCATTCTGGCTATAAAGTGGTGGCGTCATCAGTCATTGTCCTATTTTCTTTGGAGCAGGATTAAGTTGCCTACATTTACTGAGTAAAAGTGCCCAAAGAAAATGTAAATGGTTAGAGGCTGGCAGAGGTCTGACATCTGTTTAAGGTAAACATGTATGTGTTGTTGAAAATGTAAATGGTTAGAGGCTGGCAGAGGTCTGACATCTGTTTAAGGTAAACATGTAGGCTATGTGTTATAGTCTGATTAACTTTATCACTAAGTGCTAATTGGTTTCTTGGAGTCCAAACCAAAGATATAGCCTAGAGCTCTTTTGGCTTTTGGTTGGCAACAAAACCAGTGGTGGCCATCTAATGTGCTTTGAACAGCCTAATACCATATGTAACAATGCTGGAAATTCTGCTTTCATGTCAGCGGTTATACTGACACCCACTCCTCTACATAAAGCTGAAGGCACACACTGTTGACATGACCTTATTGGTTACGCTTATGGAAAGCGGTGTTATATACAGATGAAAAACCAGAGCTGTCTTTGAGTAAGTTTATTTCACCTTTGCAAATGGGCTCAAGGCATACAGAGATCTCCTCAGCTAAAAAGCAAAGACCTTCATGTGAAGGGGAGGGATGTAACATGTCACACATAGTTCACTGGTTCCTTGCTAGAAACAGCATCCTGCATTTCTTAACCACAGGTTCGACACAGGTTTCAGAGCGTTAAGCAGAGACATTGCTTAAATGAGAAATAAATTACAATCTATTCATACACTCGCAGTCAAATGGTGTATTTATGGGCTTGAAAAAGACACTTGCAAACACATCAGACCTAACTCAGTCATTCCTCTCAAATATCTAAACTTAAACTGAAATCTGTTCCTCTCATATAGACTCAGACCTTGTAGCAGGAGTGGTGAATTTGTGAATTAACAAGCATAAGCAGTTACTCCTCCTAGTGGTTTACTTGTATGGTACTGATTTATAAATCTCACACTATATCAGAGATGTTGAAATTGTTTTATCTAGTAATTATCGAAAATGTTTGAAACCTTCCACTCACGCTCAAATAGAATTTTAACATTAAGTACATCTTTTGTTTTTAATAAGAGAAGTTGAATAATTGTGCAGATTTCAACTACAATTTAGTTTGACACTGTAGGCCCATTGGTCTAAGCATTGCACAATTTTACTGAAGGTAGCATTCATGGAAATTAAGCAATATTGAAATAATCCATTATCCATATAATACAATCCATGTTAAATTATTTTTTAAATCCTTAAAGTCAGTGGACTGTAAGAATTGCCTAATTTCCACAAAGAAAACAACAGAAAAGTATTTTTAACTATCATACTTACTGTCCCTTCAGGCAATAATCCTGTTCCCTATCAAGTTTCATAACCATTGGTAAGCTATATTTAAATGAATGAAAAGCTATAAAAGCAACAAAAAGCTAGATTCTTATTCATCCTTGGTACTGATTATGAACATCAGATGCAACAATAGACTTATTAGAAAAAGTACCATACTAGCAAAAACAGCATGTGAAAAATCTTTTTGGACATGAACTGGAGCAGGGCATGGCTAGTTCCTTTCAGATTCTGTATCACAAACAAAATGAGAAGTGCATCTGAAAATATTACACAAAATTCATCCAACAAAACATGTATATTTCTAAACACAAATATTTTGAGTCTCTTAAATATGTAATAAATAAGTACATGTCAGTAGTCAAAATGTATTCAGATATTTGTCAGAAAAATTTATCTTTTTTTTTATTACATTGCTTTCTGATGTAGCTATAACTTCTCTTTTTTGTTAAATAAACTACATTGTTATAACTAAATTAAAAGAAATACAGTATTGTCTTGATAATAACATTACACCATTTGCCATTTGAACAAGTTTATTTTACCAGCATATACATTTTCCCTGAAATGAAAACAGATGTGATATAGCTTGAATACAGTAGAATGATTTTTTTCCATACATGTGAAATCGCTGCTCCCTTGTGGCAAAATGTGACTCTCACAAGAAAGTTCAGACACACACAGACAACACGAACAAAGCGACGCCCTGCTCTCCTTTAAAGCAAATTAAAATGAATGTACTGCTTCAATAAGTACTCAAACAAATTTAAAATTTCCCAAAACATACTTGTGACACTCAATAAAGATAGTTTCCTTTATTAGGTTCATCAATATTTTACAAGCAATAGAACTTAATAAAGGCCAAATTAAATATCACACGTATGAAGCAAACATTTAAGTACAAGGGTACTGCGTTCCATCATCTTTAGATCTGAAACAAACAAAACCTTTTTGTTAGATTGCCATCTTGCGACAAACCTGGTGGGAAAAACACACAACTGACCAGAGAATTTTAATACCTTCCCATCTACACTTTGTCAATGCCAAGCTCTTCAGGTGTAGAGATGCCAAGCTCCTGTAATGTTGGCTTCAGCTCTTGGATCAGGTACGGGTAGATCTCTTTATGTGGGCCGGCTTTGTCCTGAGGAAATAAGAAATGTTTACTGGCTTTAAATCAAGCATGTGGGGTGTTTTTCTACTGTTGTTTACAAACCAATAAATCGCCATCAACAGTCAGATAGCACACACAAGCCTTGCCGATGTCCGCCTGAGATCGTACGCCGGCATTAAATTTACTGCTCGGAAATACCAGCCAGTGGGCAGTGGTGTGTTTACAGTGAACAGCTGATGGAGTAACGCTAAATAATTGGTCCTAAGTTGTAGTTTTAAGTTTTCATCAGTCAGGAAGTTTTTAAAAGTCAATCTCCTCATCTCCATAACAAGCGTAACAGCTGATACCAGTTAATAAAGCTCGTTAAAAATAGTGTTCCTCTGACGCTCAGGTGGATATAGACATGAGTCTGGCCAGCTGATAGGCAGGTCTTGTCAGCTGGCCTTCCAAACTGTCGCAATTTTATTTTTGTGTTGCTTTCTCCGTGCTGGACTTATTTTAAGAACTTGATGGCTTTATCCAGTTTGTTATTATATTTGTAACTTTATCACGTGTTTCTCCATTATACTCCCACACAAAGAAGTCTAGTCCCACACAGCCTAAATCAGCTGGTTAATTTGCCTAATCTTCTTCGGTGGAAACACAACAATTCATAGTTTTCAGTCACGTGACATGCGCTGTGACCACCCAGCATTTCCAGCAACTCTAAGTAACAGTGTGTGGCAGGCAGCGGAAAATAACGTCTTTTTGCCCTCCATGGGAGAGTTTTCCTTGGAATTTGACGTCACGTGAAAACTATGAATAGGCTAAAGGAATCTTTTAGTTGCTTGAAAAGATGTGCGGGGACTTTTGGTCAAAACGCGGCTTAAAGGTCTTTTAACACGGGAAGCGACACTCTGCCTGCGTAGTCGCCTGGCCCCGCGGGGCTTCTCATGTGAACAGACACAGATGCCTCTCATTGAAAATGAATTACGAGGCATGTAAATCGCTTCCCGTGTGTAAAGGCCTTTAGAAGCTGGTCTTTTTTCCTTACCTTCACAGCTTCCAGAATTCTGATTGCGCTCGCCAAGTCGTTTAACCTCCGACAGGCTCTCAGTGCTGCCTCAAGAATCTTTGGCTCAGGTACCAGATCGTAACCAATCAATGTGTTCATCCCTGGAAGAAGGAATAACAAATTTTAGTTGGAGAACAGAGATATTTCGTATTTCATTAATTTTGCCTGTTGTTTAAAGGATAGAGCTGGTAATTTTCTATATTTCTACTATGTGAATAAATCCCACAATTAAACTCAAACCAATAATGAACTGATCCCAATAAAAAAGTATTTTCTATGTAGCCTGATACACTATAACATACTTACTGTGTAACATGTTCCTTCATTATGATGAACATGGGCACTGTAGTTTATTTTGTATTGATCCCACACACCCACCACCATAGAGCCAAAAATACTCATTAGTGCAACTGTACCAATGTGTATTAATCCATGGCTGAAAACAGTTCCCAATAATTGCAATATTTGCTAAAGGCTACAGTGTCCAAGCTGTTTTAGGAAATTACTGAGCCTGTCTCAAGAATGAAATTTTTGTGACCTGTTTTAAAAAGCTTTACATCTTCAGTAGGAGCCAGTGGGCTTAGGGCTAAGATGGGAAGGAAAGTCAGAAAGTACTGAGAAATAATGCTGGTTTTGGTCTTCTCGTGGGATTTGTCAAAATTAAAAATATGGAATAACCCCTACCATGTAATTAAATGTTATGTAAATGTAAGTGCTCCGTACTTGTATAGCGCCTTTCTAGTCTTTTCGACCACTCAAAGCGCTTTTACACTACATCTGCATTCACCAGTCACACACATTCATACACTGAGCCTAAGTGCTCAAACGGAAACTAACATTCACACTCACTCATACACTGGCGGAATAGGGGCAATTCGGGGTTCAGTATCTTGCCCAAGGACACTTCGACACGCAACCAGGGGGAGCCAGGGATTGAACCGCCGACCTTCCGATTAACGGCCAACCCGCTCTAGCTCCTGAGCCACAGCCGCCCCGATATCTCAATATACAAGTTAGAAACCATTTTTTACAGTTAAAAAAACAACCATATTTGCCACACAACTTCTTGACATATGTTTTTGTTTAATGTTCAACCATTAGCCATTATCATTTCTCACCTGATCAATATCACTGACATGATAAAATACTACAATGCATCTACAAATACGTTTATGTGTCTGACAAGCTGTCAGACTCTGGTGCTCACATTGGACTGTTTTGTGTTTTGGACCCCAAAACACTGC